GTCGACCGGGGATACGGCTTCTGCTGCCTCGTGGCGTGATTTGGACCAGTGTTTATCTCCAGCTGGGCGGTGAGTAAAAGCTGGAGGGGTTTTTTTGGGGGGCCGTTGTGGGATGATCTTGGCAAGGCTCAGCAGGGAATGAGGATTTACGCCGGATCTGGGAATGTCAAACAGGCAGTGAACGGCGCACCTGTGCTAGATCGGCATCGGGGACCGATTTTCTGTGAAATGGGCGCAGCAGGTCAGACCACCGAGGCTTGGTCCGTGTGGCTTCTTGCAGGAGTCTTCCTTTGTAAACCTGTTAAGAGCGGGACTTTCAGGAGCTACACGCACCTTAAAATCGGCGAGGTGCAGTCACTGTAGCCGTACGGTAGCCGGCTAGGAGTGGGAAGATCTGGATTCGAATCTTGACTTGAAACTCCCTTGTGTGACCCTAGCCTGTTCCCCGCCCTTTTTATCTGTGCCTCTTCTACCCTCCTTCTGCCTCATCTATCTCTCAGAGTGGTTTTAAACATTTAGGAGGGAAGAAGGAAGGAGAACCGTATCGGCTATCTGGGGGGTGGGGGGAATAAAAGACCAATAAATCAATTGTTAAATGAAGGTCATTATTTAAGAATGACCTTATTTGATCAAATCAAAGATCCTGCAGGCAGACAGCTTTGAAAAAGTTGGAATCTGAGCACTGGAGTTCATTTATTTATTTATTTTATATCCCGCCGGTTGGAATCTGACCACTGGAGTTTATTCATTTATTTATTTATTTATTTTATATCCCGCCTATCTGGTCGTTCAAGGGTAGACTGCTTTCAATACATGGAGGTTCTCCTCCCAGCTGTCAGCCCGGTATTCTGCCTCCTATTCTGTCCCCCCCAAAATAGCCAGCAATACATTCTTCAGGTGTCCATGGCGGATCGTGAAAGCAACGTCTTCTTCCTGGACTTCAGGAACTCTAAGATAGACTCCTTCTGCATCTGGAGGTTTTGTTTTGACCCATGGCCGATAGACCTTGTTAGATCTCCTCCATCAACCCGAGAAATGACTTGGTAGCATTTCAGACCCGGGTCCGTCAGGCCCAGATCTATTAATAGATTAATTAATCTATTAATCTAATTCATTTAAATAATAAATAGAAATCAAATAAATAAATAAATAATCTGTGTCATGTCTAAACGCCTCTCAACCCTCAAATCCTCTCCTCCTGAATGTGTCCTGTTCTGTTCTCCCTTCAGCCCAGCTCGTGGTTCTTGCCCTGTCATGTGGCAGGGAGTTCCACACGCCGATCTTCAGGGCAATGCACTGAAAAGGCCGAAACCATACAAAATACAGAGACACAGTGTAAGACAGGTGTCATAAGGTGTGACTGTCTCATTCTAGCCTGTTAAAACCGCACAAGGCTTATATTTAAGACTGAAGAAGCGAGCAAGTTAAGGGAAGGAAACACAGCCCCATTGAAATGTAATTAGTGCCTTTGTTAAACCTCACTTGCGGTGATTTAAGCTTATCCTTCTTAATTTCACTTGAAATCAGTGGTCTTCTCTCTTAATTCCAGCATTATTTTCTTGAAGCCGGCCTCAGGAAAGGTTTTGGGAATCAACACTACCAGACCCTTTGACCCAGTCGTATGATATATACCATTTCCTTCTTTATTTAAAATATTTTCAACGTCACAGGGCATACGATGTAACTCTGCATAATTATGCCAGTTATTAAACAAATTATCTGGCGACAATAAATGAGCAGTTAATCAAATGGGAAGCAGGTTTAAATCATATGAAAACTCTCTAAACAGTTGCAAAACACTGTTGTGAAATACTCCTTATGGATACATAAAGCAGAGGTTGGAGAACTTTTATGGGGGGCGATTACCACTTCAAGACCCCCTCCCACTAGCTAGCCTTATGTAGTGGATTCTGGATTTTGTAGTCCACCTAGAAAGAATGCTTCTAACCCTTGACATCGTTGTTGCCGTTTTAAAGCCTTAGGCTTCTTACTCTTCAAAAGTACCTAGTTCCTTTTAGTTACTGTTAAGCAAACAGCATGCTAAATGCCCCTGGCCAGTGGTCCATAACACATGTAAGGAGTGAAGTCATATACACACCCTTTCAATAAAAAGGAATTGCAAATCCCCCAGGCAACAACAAAAAATAACTTTGCCAAGTAACTAGAAAGGGAACTACAGTAATAGTAATTACAGTTTGGCCATCCATGTGAGTGACTTATCCTTCAACATGTTACATCATAATAGAACTTTGCTATGCCTTACCTATTTAAATTTTTTTTTAATGGAGTGAATGAGAAGTACATATTATTTGTAACTAATTACTTTCAAGTTCTAGTCTCTCTCCACTTAGGAGACAAAACAGGGCTGTTCTTCGCGGGGGTCCTGCTGATGGATTTTTCCAAAGCTTGGCTGTCACAGTTGTAGACAGGATTCGGAGGGGGGGGAATGGTCCCCAGAGCTGAACCAGGAAGGTTCCTATGTTCATCACAGTTTGAGTTAGGAATGGAGACTCCATGTTCAAAAGAAGTCTATCTTCATGCACTAGACTTTAGGAATGAGCCTCAGAGACATGTTGGCTTCCTTCCCTGGCAGATTGCAATCTAAGCAAGCCAGACTCTTATCTTGAGAGCTATCATTCTTAGAAGCCTCCTTACTTACAAGCATTGTGAGATAGCGTACCAGCAAGGATGGGCTAAGAATGGAGCTTCCATAGCCAGTAGAAGACTACCTACCGATTCCAACTACGGAGCGTGAAGGAGGCTTCTCGGGCTGTTGCAAAGCCTGAAAAGTTACTTTGCACAATGGATCCCACGTGCCCCAGTCAGATGCGCACACGGTGATCCGAGTTCCAGTCTCGAACGAGGCGTAAAATATTTGCAGGGAATGCGATATTCAGCTCCACGAGGGACTCAGAACGCGGCACATGCACAGTTAAACAAAAACTTGTTTCCCCTAAAATATAAAATCACTCGCACCTGAATTTGTCCTTCCAGTACGCCCCCTCCATCATCAGTCAAGTCTATCTGATCCATCTTTCCTCCTTTCTCATCTGGATAAACAAACCACAGATTAACATAACTGCATTACCTTGCCTCAGGGACTCAACGAAAGAGATTGACGAGGCCTGTAACTTCCTAACAGAAGGCGGGCGAATCAGTCCTCTTATCGTGCGAGGCCCCAACCGAAGCCTCCTCCCTGCCCCAAAGACCGGAAAGGCGGGAATTGTAGCAGAAGGGAACAGTGGAACTCTCTGCAACTTGATGAACTGGAATTTACATTGCCCACTGTGTACAATACGTTGATAAATCTGTGACGATGTGGCAGCTCTGGATTGCCAAGGCTTTGCAGTTTGAGGCACGGCACTGAGTTTTTGAAAAGTTTGTCCCGTACTCATGAGGATTAGCAACTTCCTTTTTTTTTTTGTCTTAGAGATGATTCAGCTTTGATTAGATCGAGGAACCCCCTTTTTTGTCTTTCTGGCCATCAAGGGTAGGTTCAAAGCTCTCCTCCAGCACCGTCTTTCAAACAAATCAGCATTTAAAAAAGATAAACGAGGGGAAAAATAGGACATAACAGCGGGCCCATCCCAACTTTCTGGAGTCGGAATAGCAAACTTAGCTGGTGAGCCTACACAAGTCACCTGGTCCTGTTCTCTCTCTCTGTGATGAAATCTGTTGTCTTTCTACTGAAATTATAGTAATTATACTCCTTTATTTGATTTTTTTGGTACCCTGCCCTCAGCTGAAAGAACCGAGGGCGGCTAACCATTTCTGTAGAAAGGACGACGTGCGAATTACAAATCGCGAGTGTCTGGAAAGCACCATGATCATCATCTTAGACCTGCCAAGCTGTAAGAGGCGTCGTGGATCATCGAGTCCACCCCGTCTCAATCTGTAGGAATAAATCACAGCCCTGTGTTCGAATAAAAAAAAAGAGCAGGGTGGTAGCGGCGGAAATGATCCAAGCGGCGGTCGGAGAGAAGCCCTCGCTTATTCCCGGAACTGGATATAAATACTGTAGATGTTTCAGAGTTTGCATCGATACATAAACAACAGCCTGTGCTCATTTTAGGCAACATTTTTATGGCCTCTGTGTTTTGGTGGTGGGTTAACGAGTGCCCTAAATCCTGGTCGAATATTCGTTGATGTGGAACGAAGCGTCTTCCCGAACCATGAAAGCAGGAAACCAGATGGGGAGGAAATCCGGAAAAAAAGTATGCCTGGAAATCTGGAGGTCTTTTACAGCTCGGTGGGTTCGAATCCCCTCCATGCCTCCTTGATAGAGGCTGGACTGGATGATCTTTAGGGTCCCTTCCAGCTCGGCAGTTCTCAGATGATCAAGGCTGCCGCTTAGATGCCGGGAACGTGGTGGCTTTTGGCAGAGGAGAAGAAATGAGGCTTTTATGAGACCTGGAGACAGCAAGGCCTATGAGGACACAGGAGCGCCTCGAAATTAAGCGAGGAGAGACGGGAAGGCCACCGAGAGGATGGCGGCATTCTTAATTTGGAGAAAAATCCATCCCGGAGAATCCTGTCCGTGGAGATGGCAGAATGGTCCGGCATTACACCTGATCCGTTTCCTTCTTTTCCTCCTTAAATGCCACCCTGCCTTCTACGTGCTCGGCTGTGTCAAAGTCTGGCGTCCGCACAGCTTCAGCCTCACGCAGGAGGCAAGGCTTCGGTCGGAGAAAGCAAGGATAGCTTGAAGGGAGAGCGCTGGGCTTGGATGCCGGAGGTGCCGAGTTCAATTCCCAGGGCCTCCAAAGAGGGCTGAGAAAAAGACTACTATCTAAAACACCATAAAACTCTAAGTCATCTTGTGATGATTGCAAGCCAGTGTTGTAATTTGGGCATGCTCGGTCTTCAACTCAAGCTTTTCTCACCGGCTGGCTTCCTTCCTCAACAGACCGCCCTGCAGGGTCGTTGCTGAGTTTTGTAACAGTAAGGTCAGATTTCGCACTCAGCCCTTTTCTATCATGGTTTCTTTTCTGGGTGCAGGTGCCGATTCCCGTCTCCTCTTGAGCGGTGACCTCGGTCCATGGCCTCTGCGATGCGGTGGGTGGATCCGGGCCCTTGGTTGCTGTCTTTATGGCTCTTCCTCCAGATGGTCGTGGGGGCGAGAGGTGAGTGAACTGGACAATGTGTTGTGGTTGAAACTGCTGGTGGATCAGGCCCTTTCCTCCAATACCGTAGGTACATGCGGGTTTCGTAACATCAGGTGTCCGGTCTTGCTTATAGCAATCCTGGCTCTCCCACCTTCTTGTTACGATGTCCCGTCACGTCGCCTCCGATTTATGGTGACCTTCTGCATGAATGATCTCGAAAATATATTTTCCATGCTTCTGAAGGTGTATTTTTGCAAACCGAGAAAATGATGAATGCATTTTCATAACATTCATACCACTAAGAATGGATCTTTTCAGAGAAAAAAAATGTACAGTGGTGCCTCGGTTAACGAGCGCTTTGTTTAACGACAAATACGCATAGCGATGATTTTTTGCGATCATTTTTGCGATCGCATTGCGATGTTTTAAATGGTAAAACATCGCTTTGCGATGATCGGTAAGCTGTTTCGCTTACAGAGAAAAAATGTACATGAATGCCATCTGTGCTTCTGTATTTCCAATGCGCATTGTCAGAATTGGCCACTAGGGGGAAGCAGAGAGTATTCACATGTATTTTTCTGACCTGTTATAATGTCAAAAGGTTGGCTGACAACAAGTTGACTTACCGATTTTCGCATAGCGATGTTTTTAGAACAGCTGACCGGTGGTTCCAAAATGGCCACCGGGTTAAAAAAATGGCCACCCACTGTAGTTTCGCGCCCATTCCTCACTTACCAGGCAGCGAAAATGGTGGCCGTATGGAGGATTTTCGCATAACGGTGAGATTTTTTGCCCATAGGAACGCATTAAACGTGTTTTAATGCGTTCCTATGGGCTCTTTTGTTCCGTACAGCGCCGAATCCACATAGCGATCATTTTTCCGGAACGGATTATCGTCACTATGTGGGGCACCACTGTACATGTGTGCTTCTGTATTTCCAATGCGCATTGTCAGAATTGGCCACTAGGGGGAACCAGAGAGTATTCGCTTGCATTTTTCTGGCCTGTTATTATGTCAAAAGGTTGGCTGACAACAAGTTGAATTAGCCCAACAGTTACACACAGCGTTTATAAGCACCAACAGATGCGACTTCAGAAAGAATTACTCTAATTAAATCAGAAAGGCAATGCATTGCATTCTTTGTGGTTCAAGGCCTTCTGTAAGCAGGAGTTGTCTCCTCTGGCTACCGGTTCAGCCTGCTAGCCAGATGCTGCTAGATGTTGATCAAGGCTTCTCCTCTGCCCACAACTTGGAAATGTTACTTTTTGTAGGAATGACAGGCCTCAAAAATCATCCAGTCAGCTTGACTTGTGGCCATACTGACTAGCCGTGGGTGGACCAGGGAGTTACCAAATAAAAAGGTAGCTTTTTCAAGCCCTGCTTTTTAATTTTTCTTCCTGAACTGGGCGTGATGGAGCCTCAAAACAGGATCCTTCAAAGAGAGGGCCAACCACTGCATAGAAGACCACTGACCCTATTATTCATGTCGATAGATGGGCCACTGGACATCTATCATCATTGTCTAACCTCCTTTTAAAAAAAGACTGATGTGATATTTCCATATGCTTTCCTTTCTGGCTCGTCTCTGTTTCCCCTATCTTCACGCCTCCTCTATGGATGCAGATGCTAACCGAAAAACAAGGAAATTGCCTGCACCCAGCTATAATTTTTTAAAAAAACCTAGCCTTCCATCCTGCGATTACTACTGGAGGGGAAAGCAGGGATCAAAGCGATCCTGCAGCACTTTGATCCCTTTCCCCCTACACTTGCTAAGCCCCACTTAGATTTCTTAATTTTGGGTTAGAAAAATGGGGGCGTCTTATACACAGAAAAATACGGTAATCTCTCAAAACAGGATCCTTCAAAGAGAGGGCCAACCACTGCATAGAAGACCACTGACCCTATTATTCATGTCGATAGATGGGCCACTGGACATCTATCATCATTGTCTAACCTTCTCCTTTTTTTAAAAAAAAAATCCTGATGTGATATTTCCACATGCTTTCCTTTCTGGCTTGTCTCTGTTTTCCCTACCTTTATGCCTCCTCTATGGATGCAGATGCTAAGCGAAAAACAAGGAAATTGCCTGAAGCAGCTATAATTAAAAAAACTAGCCCTCCATCCTGCAATTACAAGTGTAGGGGAAAGCAGGGATCAAAGCGGTCCTGCAGCACTTTGATCCCTTTCCCCCTACACTTGCTAAGCCCCAATTAGGTTTCTTAATTTTGGATTAGAAAAGTGAGGGGCGTCTTATACACAGAAAATATGGTAATATTCTGATTTCTGTTTCTCCTCCTCCATCACCCTGTGTCCCGTTTTTTTCTCTGCCACTCAGCCGGCTTTCCGTGCGCACCCAGAGTCGTCGGCCACAAGGCCATGGTGTGCGTCTGTAACGCCACCTACTGCGACACTCTGGATCCCGTCTCCCTCCCGCCCCTCGGCATCTTTGCCAAATACGAGAGCAGCCAAGATGGCCGGCGCTTCGAACTGAGCCAAGGGGCAATGCGTTTGAGTCCCACACGGGCAGGTAAGCCCCTGGTGGGGGGGGCGTTCAGGGAGAGTTTGGGGTTGCCCTTTCAGCCCCCCTGCCAAATGGATCTAAGACAAACTTTGGCATTTGCCCTGAAAATTGGGCATGGGTTGCTTCATTACACTTTAAGATAAACTATGCTGGCCTTTGGGGTCCCATGGAGTTAGCGTCTGCCCTGTCTAACCCCGGACAACTGTTCCCCCAAATATCCATAGAATCGAATTTGTTTCAAAATGTCTTCTTTGCCTTTACTCTCTTAATTTCTTGGTCCCTGCTTCTCACCGTCTCCCTTTCTCGTTGGCTTTTCCACAAAAGGTCTTTCGTATTCGTACAACCCATTCGTCCACTACCAAACCATCAAGGGTTTCGGTGGGTCGCACACGGATGCCGCCGCGATCAACATCATGAGGTTGTCTCCGGAGGCCCAAGACCGGTTGCTCCGATCCTACTTCTCCGAAGAAGGTGAGGTGAAGGGAAAACAACAACAACAACACAGCCTTGGCAGGCAAGAGGCAGACAACGTGCAAGGGAATCCGCCATCTGAGCTAACCTGAAGGCGTAGCTTTCTACCTGAGGGTTGGAAAGCAATCATTGGAAGGAGACCGGCTGTTCGAGTGTTATTTCCAATATGCATTTCCTTTTTTATTTCTCTCAAACTGACATAGCGCTATTGCAGATTGGAAGAAAAATATAACAAATCGGACTGCAAGGTTTCCGTGCAGCTCGAAACCTGTGATCCTGGCATCCGTTACTTGTGGCGGTTCTGGGTGAAGGGGACAAAAACCACGCAGGCGTGTACATCAGCTGCAGGCTGTGGGTTGTCGAGATCAGCAGAGGGATCTTGTTTTTGCGTGTGCGATTCCACCACGAGGACTCTCCCTTTGCGGGTCTAGTTAGAGCTGGAATTTTGAAGGAGTGAAATGTGTACAAGACACCCCCCACTTTTCTAATCCAAAATTAAGAAATCTAAGTGGGGCTTAGCAAGTGGAGGGGGAAAGGGATCAAAGCGCTACAGGATGGCTTTGATCCCTGCTTTCCCCTCCACTTGTTTTTGTTCTCTCCTCAGCTTACTTCCGTGTGTAAGACGACCCTCAATTTTTAGTCTAAAGATTTTAGACAAAAGTATAGTCTTATACACTGAAAAATATGGGTAAAATTGCACCCTATATATACATATATAAACTCTTTGCCTTCCCACCTCTGCAGGGATTGAATATAACCTCCTGCGTTTGCCCATGGCATGCTCTGACTTTTCCACACATGCGTACAGTTACGATGACAAGTGCCCGAACGATTATGACCTGACGTGCTTCAGTCTGGCGCCAGAGGACACAAAACTGAGGGTGAGTGGATCAACACACACACACACACACACACACACACACACACACACACACACACACACACCCTTTGTGAGTGCATTGTGTAAGTGGGGTTCCTTCCGTCACCAAAACAGGACCACCTGTGTGCAGGCAGGACGTGTTTTTTAAAACCAGTGGGTCCCAGCCTGGGGTCCCCCAGATGTTCATGGACTACAAAACCTATACATCTTGGCCGACGTAGCTAGGAGCGAAGGCTTCTGGGAGTTTTAGTCTTAAGAACATCTGGGGGGACCCCAGGTTGGGAATTGCTGCTTTAGAGGTACAACAGCGCCCCCAGTGGTTATCTTATGTATATACAATTGGTGAGCACATTCTCTCCACCTTAACAAGCCACTTTTTAAGGGAAGAAACAGCTGGAGGGGGGGGGGTTTAAAACCAACCCTATAAACACCCCAATAAGGAAAAGGAACACTGTACTGTCTTCTCTGCAGTGGGAACGCCATGTTCGTGTGTTGGTGGTTCTTTTAAGAATATGAGATTTATGCTGGAGAGGCTCAGAGTTTGAGGTCTCCGGCTGTTGATCCAGAGGTTGGGAATTCGAATCCCCCCCCCACTGGGCCTCCTTGAAGGGGGCTGGACTCCATGATCCAGAAGGTCCCTCCCAATTTTGCATTTCTGTGGTGATGATGATGATCACATGCTTTTTCCAAATCACAGTTTATTGTCTTCAAGGTGTCACTTCCCTCTTTAGCAGGAAGTTTTTCTTTCTTTCTTATTTATACTGAATTTCTATCCTGTCTTTCTCCCTGTAGAGGGGACAGGAAGGTGGCTGGCAAGCAATTTGAAAACATGATTAAAAAAAAAAAAACTAAAACCATCACAAGTGTTTTTAAAAGTCGCGCTGTTGCGAAAACAATTAAAAGGGCTGGAAGAAACCCAATACAACGATGTAAAAATAACGTTTTTAAAAGAGAAGAGGACCGCTCTCCCTTTAAATAGCTCCCTCATCAGCATTTTATGTATTAAAAGGCTTAGGGACAGAGTGATCGGGCTGGACGTGGCCCCTCAGAGAGCCTTTTAAATCCAAATCTTATGAGAACTCTCCATGGTGCTGAAACTGGACCCCTTCTCCTTACCCTGAGAGGTTCACCTCCACCCTGTTGAAACTTCGTTTTGTTCACAAGTTCAGACCCAAAGCCGGAGCGGATTTGAAGCTGCAGGATTCTCCCCTAGAGGTGTGGAGTGGACCTTTTTTTTTTTTTTTTGTTGGCAGTCCCACCCCCATTTGGATGGCAGCCCCCCCCAAATGAAGAAATTCGGGGGGAGAGGTAGCCTAAAAAACCCCACAAATCTCACCTTAAAAACCCCACAACTTCTCCAAAGATATGTTTATTCGGGTGGGGATGCCTGGCGGCGAGAGATGATGGGATGGAGGGGGCTAGGAAAGACTGAGACCTCATCGGGTCCCACCCTCTTCGCCTCTCCCCATAGATCCCGCTCCTCCACCGCTTCCAGGCCCTCTCCAAGCGGCCACTCTCCCTCGTGGCCAGCCCGTGGACGGCTCCCGCGTGGCTCCGGACCAACAACCTAGTGATGGGGAAAGGGCGGCTGAAGGGCGAAGCTGGCGACAGATACCACAAGACGTGGGCCTCCTATTTCCTCAGGTAACGGGGTCCCCAATGGGGATTCGGGCAGAAGGGAGGTCCTCCGTGGGCCACCCGTGGTCTCCTTTCATCTGTGTGTGTGGGGATCATTTCTTCGTTTCCTCCACTGCCTTTCGGGAGAGCTGGCCCCACCCTGGGGCAGCTGCCTCAGGCGCCAGATCTGGAAGGGGTGGCAGCAGGTTTTTATCGGTAGCTAGAGGAAGATAGGGGCAGAGATCCTCTCAACAAGAGCTACACAAAACGGAGCCACCAAATTTAAATTTTACTGCATTTTCCTGAAAAATAGAATAGTTGAAGGCACACTTTGCCACATTTTTCCATAAAAATTCAGCTGGCAGGACTCATGTCATCTCAGCCAACAGACTGATTGATTGATTGATTGATTGATTGGTTGGTTGGTTGATTGATTGATTCATTCATTCATTCATTCCTTCGTTCCTTCGTTCCTTCCTTCGTTCCTTCCTTCCTTCCTTCCTTCCTTTGCATTCATAACCTCTGTTTCCTCTGACACATCTCTTTCACAACTCATTTTCATTCAGACCCAAGCCCTCAAGGTAAGGTCAAGCAGAGAGAGGCTGGCCGAAACCAGTGAGGTACAATTAGAACTCGGATCTTGCCGGTTCCAGCTCAGTTTTCTATCCACGACACCGCTCTTTTTCTCCTTAGCTTTGTGGGCTCACGTAAGGCACACACACAGTTCACTCCCTTCTATTCAAAATCAACCGTGTTGTGGCTTTCAAAATGTGGTAGTAATTTCTAAGTTGCTTTTATAGCTGGTGAAAAACTCCTGTGGGAGTGGAAAGCTCATTTGTTTTTGAGATTTTAATGTTCTGATGAAGGCATCATCCTTTTTTTTGAGAACGAAAAATTAGTAATTTGAATTATAGATTGTAACTGAAACTATAACTTTAGTTACACTTACTGTAATAGTAACTAGTTACTTTGGGGACTTAGTACTATAGATGATTGCTTTCTAAGGGTTACCCACCCATGCTCTGTATGTCCCATATTTTTTTCAATCTAGGTTCCTCGATGAATATGCAAAAGAGAACATCACCTTTTGGGCTATTACGCCTCAGAATGAGCCGGTCTTGTCTGTTTATATCGCTCAAAAGAATTTCCCCACCAACCAGTTCACGCCAGAAGAGCAACGTGACTTCATCATACAGGATCTGGGCCCTGCCCTGGCTGCCAGTTCCCACAAAAAGGTCCAGCTCATAATCCATGATGACCAAAGAGTCAACCTTCCTTACTGGGCCAAAGTGGTACGTTTCCAAACTATCTAAGATACAACCAATAATATGTCTCAGTCAGATTCTGCTCTGCTGGGGGACTACGATCTCCAGATGCTATTTTCTAGCTTCCTAGGGATTTTAGCAGCAATAAGTTACAAACAACAAATTACCAGTAACAAATTCCTTTTTCCATAACTAAAGTACAAATGGTAGCTAGTAACTTTGAAATAACTAGTTACAAACAGTGAGTTACAGTGGTGCCTCGATTAGCAATGTTAATCCATGCAGCAAAAATTGCTGCTAAGCAACAACATTGCTAAGCGATATTAAAAAGCCCATAGAAACGCATTAAAACGCTGTATGGGCTAAAAACTAACCTTTAAGCGAAGATCCTCCATACGGCGGCCATTTTCGCTGCCTCTTAAGCGAGGAATCTGTCCCTAAACACAGCTGGTGGCCATTCTGGAACCGCCGATCAGCTGGCCGAAAATGGGGGCTTTGCGACGATTGCTTCCCTGCGATCATTGCAAAGCAAAATTTCCCCATAGGGAACATCGCAAAGCGATCGCTTTTGCCATCACAAAAACATCGTCGCAAAGCGATTTCTTCATTAAATGGAGCAATCGCTATGCGAGGCACCACTGTACTTGTAAAGCATTTGGATTTCATGTTTAAAAAAAGGCAAAACTAAGTGTAGTTACATTCCCAACCAAAGGAGAGGTGTCCCCAGCCTCTGGGGCCCACCTCTGTCCATTAAAAGGAATATTCAGCAAAATTACGTCATCATCTTCTGGCAAACCCATGAATTGCAGCCTGCTGCGCTCTTCTTGCCCAAACACCCTGCAGCCTGCTTACCTCTGCCTATTAAAGACCTAATTCCTTATATTGGCCTGCCCTCTTCCGGCTGAGAATGTGCATTTCAAGCAGTTGATCGTGCTGCATTTAGGATCTAATTCTCCGTCTTGGGCTGCCCCCTGTTGGCTGACACAGTTCATCACAACCTGCTGAGGACCCCCTGGGTGAAAAAAAATTGACTTTGACGTACATTATGTCTGTCTTCTCCCTTTTATTACATTTGTCTTCTCCCTGCTTCTCTCTGTCTTCTTTGGCAGATCATAGGTAACAGCAGTGCCGCCCAGTATGTGTCAGGTGTTGGGATCCACTGGTATCTGGACAGCGTGATCCCTCCGGAGCCTACCTTGGAGGCCACCTACCTCCTCTACCCCGATTTTTTTCTGCTTTACACAGAATCTTGTAACGGCTTTCGAAGTTGGGAACCCAAGGTTGACCTAGGAAGTTGGGAACGGGGCAACAGATACAGCCGAAATATCTTGACGGTAAAGCTTAGAGCTGGCTGGCTTTGGGGGAACCTTGGTTTACGTCTTAAGTTCACTAGACTAGGGTTGAGCAGCTACCACTTTCCATATGTGGTTGGACTACACCTCCCATTGAACCAGTCAGAAAGGATGATGGGCGTTGCAGTTGGATGCCATCGGGGCCCCCAGCACGATCAGCCGATCCTGCGCTGTGGGTCTCAGCCGCCACCCTATAAACTCAATTTTTCCCTGTTCCTTCATCCCCGTATGTTTTTGAACTTCATCTCTTGGAAAGCCTGCATGGCAGATGAGAGAGGATCCAGGGACATGTAGGGACCCCATTAGGTTGGTAACCCCAACGGGGCTGACCTTTGCCCTCCGACCCCCCACAGAACCTCAACAGCTTCGTCACCGGCTGGATTGACTGGAATTTGGCTCTGGACACGGAAGGGGGCCCGAACTTTGTGCAAAATTACGTGGACAGCCCGATCATCGTTGATGCGTTCCGGGACGAGTTCTACAAGCAGCCGATGTTCTACCACTTAGGACACTTCAGGTAGTCGGGACATCCTGGGTCTTAGGTCCCCTGTCCCTCCCCATGGACCCCCATGAAAAAATCTCCCTTTGTGTGTGTGTGTTAGTGAGGCGGAATGATATACGGTGCTAGCTCGAAGCTCCGGCAGGGGTGGAGAAGTGGCTTTCTGTGCTGCGAGGAATCATCTTGTGGTGGGGAGTTCCACAAGCCATTCATAAGAGGGAGAGAGCCAGGATGGTCTATTGTTGATGCTTCTCCTTCATCCTCTCGATTTCTTTCTCTCCCTCCCCCCCAGCAAGTTTATACCTGAAGGCTCTGTTCGTGTTGCTCTGACCTCCCAGTGTGGAATAGGCATCTGCCAGCTTCAGAGCGCCGGCTTCCTGCGCCCGGACGGCGTCGCTGTGGTGGTCGTGCTGAATGAGTGAGTCTGCAGGGGCGGGAAGGTGGGAGTGACATTGGGGATGAAGAACATCCCATGTACAGTGGTGCCTCGCATAGTGATCGCTGTCCCATGTACAGTGGTGCCTCGCATAGCGATCGCTCCGTTGAGCGATGAAATCAGTTACCAACAGAGTTTTTGTGATCGCAAAAGCAAGCGCTTTGTGATGGTCCCTATGGGTTTTTTTTCGCTTTGCCATGATCGCGGGGAAGTGATCATGGCAAAGCGACCCTTTTTTAACAGCTGATCAGTGGTTTCAAAATGGCTGTCAGGAAAACAAAATGGCCGCCCGCTGTTTTTCCTCGCTTAAGAGGCAGCGACTATGGCAGCACTATGGAGGATTTTCGCTTAAAGGTAAGTTTTTAACCCCATAGGAACGCCTTAATCGCATTTTAATGCGTTTCTATGGGCTTTTTAATATCGCTTAGCGATGAAATCGCTTAGCAACTTTTTTTCCGGAACGGATTAACGTTGCTAAGTGAGGCACCACTGTACAGGACGGGAGCATGGCATCCAGAGAGATTGTTTTCCCTCGTGTATCCCCTGTCTCTTCCGAGATGGTATCCTCTTCTGCTTCCATCTTGGGAAGAGGGATCTTGTCTCCATCCTCACCCGAACGCTTTGCCTCCCTTCAGTGGCTTTTGCGACATCGCCTTCAGCATCTCGGACGACCAGGTCGGCTACATCGAAGACACCGCCCGGGCCGCGTCCATCCAGACCTATGTGTGGCAGCGATCTTGGTGATGCCGCTGTTCGGGCACGGTCAGCGATCTCCTTGCGCCCCGGAGGGAAGCCGGAAGCCATTACGCCCATGCATCGAAGACTTGGGTCTGTGGAAGCCGCTTTCTCCTCTTCTCGGCCCCACGCGGGACCCATAGTTGGGGGTCCGACGGCTCAGGCCATGTTGAAAGTTGGAGAAAGAACTTGGACAGCAAGGGGATTATAGATGTTGGTGCCTGTGAATATCCAGAAAGACTACCCTGAAAGCTTTAGCTCAACCCATATTTATATTGGACATTAAACAGCCAATGAACTGAACCCCGCTCAGTTGTGTTTTCCAGCACAACTCGTTTGTCTCTACACAACTCCCTGTGTCTCGCTCTCCGGCGGGGAGAAAGCCTCAGGATCTAGACCACAGAGGATGGCAAAAAGGCTCAAAACGGCTGGGGGTGAATCCCAAAGAAGCATCAGATCCATCCCGTATCCATGACACGCACTCGCCTCTACAAAGCAGATTCCGTTTGGCGTAAACTGCGTTGAATCGACCCTCCGTTGTCTCTTTCCCTGAGCGGTTCTGAACTCGCGGACACTTCATCGAGTCCGTCGTCCAATTGTTCAAAGGAAGGGCGTGGGAGTTATTTATTTATTTATCTACAGTAGGGTCCCCATAGCCACAGGATCGGTATCCAGTGATTGACTTATCCACGGTCTGAAAATATTAAAAATATTTTAAAAAACACACAAGAAGCACATATTTCCATGGGTGACGTTACCAGAACTGGCCATTAGAGGGAGACAGAGACCATGAAGCACGTATTTCCATGGGTGACATTACAAGAACTGGCCATTAGAGGGAGCCAGAGACGTTCTAGCACACACTATTGAAATCACATTCACAATAATCCACATTTTTCAGCATCTGTGGAGGGTGGGCTTTGGAACCAATCCCCCGTGGATATGGGGTTTCTACTGGAAACAGTCCATGAACCTTCTAGATGAGGGTGGGGAGACCCTCCCCATTCAGGAGCAGTCTACCTCTAAATCCCAGTGACTGGGAAACCTGAGCAGACATGGATCCATTATGGCGTGGATCTTCTACTAGTTACTCACCAAGAGGCATCTGGACGGGAAAACAGGGTTGTGCTAAGACTCCAGATCCGCTAGGTTTTCTTCGGATCCCTAAAGTTGTTTTTTTTAAACGGGGAACCCAGGTTGACGCTCCAGATGTTCTGGGACCCCTGTTTTTTAAGGGACCGGATATAACACGTCGGTCCAAACATGTTCATTTTAAAACCAGTGCTTATGTGCTGAACAGGAAGGTAAGCAAATGGATCCATCTACTCTTCTAAAAATAATGTTCTGTTAGCAACTTTAAAGCATGACTTTAAAGATAGATATTTTTAGAGGATTAGAGGCATCTGTATGCACGCTCTACGCAAGCATCAAAACAACATCGTACATGATTGTAACTTTAAAAAGAGAGTGTTCAACGGTAAGAAGTGTAATCCTCTGGTATCTACTGGCCGGTGTCTGTTTGAAGGGCTGACTAGTCATTTCTTAACGAGAATAAAGTTGTACTCATTAAGAACAAGCAAGAATAATAATATTTAAACCATTAAGAAAAGGGAGTACTTCGAAATTGCTGCTCCACCCCCAGAAGTCCCTGAACTGTAAAAAACAAACAGCGGGATAAAATCTACCTTACACTTCACTTTTCTTTTATTTAAATATAAGCAGTCATTGTCAGCTTTACATCTAGATCAGAGTCTGGAGACACCCTTTTCTGAGACTCCAGTTAATCCCCGAGCCGGCTGCGGAATGGGGGAAACTGGGCATTGGAGTGGAAACAAAATTTTAAAAATTGACATTTCTAAGCATGGCTCTTGAGCCAGAATGTGGCTCTTTCTTATCTGTTTATAACCTCTCAAATATTGCAAATCTGTCTCGCTTCCCTTCCTTTCCTGTGACATGCACGTGAACGGCTGCGCTAGCTACAAATCTGTCGCGGCTTGCCGTGACGTTGGCCTCCAGGCTCGGCGCCACACCTCGGATCCGTTCCCACGCGTGGCCTCTTGCCACGATGCGGACAAACCCGTCCGGGGAGAGATGGAGGGCGGCTCCATAGGGGTTGAGGGAGTCTCCTTGCTTTCCAGCATCCTACGGAGCCAGAAAAGGTGCCTTGATTTGCATTCCAGTTTAATAATAATAATCAGCATCTTAGAACCCCAGAGTTAGAAGGGACCTTATAGATCATCAAGTCCAACCCCTGTTAAAGAGCCACAGCGGGGAATCGAACTCTGGTGAGGTTTGGACTGCTTGAGAATGAATGGGTTTCTGGTGAGTGTTCCCGTTGTGTCTCTGGGTGATAACTTGGCAAAAGGAACCCCTTAAAGAGAAACGCATGCAGGAACCAGGTGCGAGAGAGGCTTCAATCAGGACGATGTGCTTTTCTGAACTCGTGATGCGCTCTGAAATTACAGCTCTAGTCCGATTCACCCAGAAGGACATCTCTGGGCCTCCAGTCAGGTTCTGCACCCAGAAGCATCACAGAAGCATCGCAAAAGAGCTAGAACCTAAATACCGTTGGCCTTGGGGTTTAAATATTCCTTTGGGTGACTACAAAACCCAGAATCCACCAGCCAGCAATAACAGAGATGAGCCAACCTGCTTTTTAAGTCTTCCCATGAAGTGGAAACTAACAGGGGGTTTCTTTTTCTTTCAATGAAGGCCAGATCATCCAGGGCTGCGGCGGCAGCTGTGTTCCTCCAGCTGTGGTTGGACTACAACGCCCATCCCCAATGATTGGGGCTGATGGGAGCTGTAGTCCAGCACGTACACACAAATTATTCCGAAACATTGTCAGCTTCTTTCCTCTTGGGAAAGTTTGCCGACTTAATGTAATGTGTCTCTCATCTTAATGGGGAAAGGAAAATCTTGATGATTCCCCCTTTTCCCCCCTTTCCTGGGTTTGGGCGAAGCTGGGGAGAGCTTTACGATAGCCCAGGGTTGGCCAGAAAACGGCTTCTTGATGTCCCGGAGAAATTGCAAATTCGAAGCTGGGGGAAAACCGAGGCACTTTCTTCACAGCCCGAGAGTGGATATTCCGGCTCTGCGAGATGATCCAGATCCCGCCCACGGCAGATCTCACATAGGACTGCTTTTGGGCGTCTGGGGATCCAGAAGGAACAGAGACACCGAGACTGGATCCTGATACTTTTGAGGTTGGGACAGAGCGGAGACCCCTTTTTCGCTGCCAAACAGAAGGTGAGTTGACGGCCCTGGGGAAGGTGAGAACAGAGGATGGAGGTGTCGATGATGCTGCCGGTGAAATCTGGAAGCCTGCATCCCACTTCTCCATCTCCAGCATCTAGTAATTGGCTCCTTTCCCTCACATTCAGATTTTTCAAATTTCTAGTCCCTTGGAGGACAGAAGGCCCCAAAAAGAAAAGAAATTTTTTAAATCTATGCTCTGCTTTTTTTGAAAGGCTGGGTAGCACTAAAGCTGCTATTCCATCTCATCAGAATCGTTTTCTTTGCCAGAACAAAACAGAACCTGCATATCCAGACATAGTCTATCTTTCTGACGGGGAATGGGTGAGAATTTCGCTTGAGTCTTCCCCCCCCCTTTCATTTACACAATGTACAAAAGCCCTTCTGAGACAGGAAGAATTTGCTTCTTCTTCTTCTTTTTTTTAAATTGAGCATCAGGGGAAGCAAACATTTGGTCCAATGCCAAGCCTTTGAGAGTTTATGAGCTCATAAAAACTTGGTTTCAAACTTTTACGTTGCTAATATATAGTCTCAGAGCCTGGGACCTGGCTTTTGACCCTGACCCTGACAAGCCGTTCGGTTATTGCTTTTCCGGCACTCAATTTAGAAAAGAAAAAAAAACCCAAAACATTTCAAGTGGTTTCTGTCTCACTTAGCGATGATTTTTGTACCTTTCTATTGCTTAATTTTTTAAAGAAATCCAAATGATTTCCATCTTGCTTGGGACGAGTTTCTCAAATCTGGGTTTGGCTTCAAAGTTTTCAGTTTAAGCTGAAATGTGGCCGGATCCTTCCTTTATTCCCTTTTTCTTTTCCTAACCTTATCGCTGAAGAGTTTCCAAAACGGCAGCTGCGTTCATCCGTGGAGCAAAATAATCGTGTGCCCCACAGCGCTTACTTCTAAGACTGGGATATGTAAAATAGGACGTGTTTTTGGGGAGACCCGAAAATCTGCTTCCCTCAGAGTTAATGGCACGAATTCTAGCAACTTAAGGTGTATTCTATGGTTGTGAGGAGGAGAGCCAGGCAGTGAATGCAAAAATCTAAAAACCTGCTTTAGGACCTGGCCTGTAATAAGTTAAACCATTGGCCCATTGACGCTGAGCTTGTATGCACAGGCTGGCAGCACCTCCCTGCCTGAGGGTCTTTCTTAGCCCTTCATGGTGAAATCAACCCCTACCATGGAGACTTTCTGCAGGGAGAACAGGCACCCTACCCATGTACTTCAGGCGGCATTTCTGGTAGGGCTGGAAAACCGCTTGCCCCAAACCCGAGAGGATAGCTGCCGGCCCGTGTCGGCAATACCAAAGTCGATGGCTCAGTGATTTAACTCAGCAAATCGCCATTCCAGTTTTCTGAGATGGATCCCGCTGGCGGCGTTTGACGCGGAATTAAGTGTCTGTGAACAAAGTTCACACAGTTACCATTGTGATAGGATTGTAAGCTCCTTGGCACAGAGAAGAGGGGAGTGCATGCCCGGTTTTGAAAGAACAAAAAACAGCCAGATCAAATAAACTCTGTGGTAGGAGAGCCAGTGCCTTCTTTAGCAATGAATATGGAGTTTGTTTTGCTTTGGGGTCAGAATCCGTTTCCTCCAGATTTCACAGGGATCACCGGCGAAAGGGTGCAAGCTTCTGGGTTCTGCAGAACGCTTCAGTGGGCTCGCTCTAGGAAGGGTTCAGTAGGGCATGGAAGGGGACACACTTTGTGTGGCCTTTTGGTTGGTCCAAATGGTTTGCTCAGAGTTGAATTTACCATATTTTTTCCACGTATAAAACTATACTTTTGTCCAAAATCTTTAGACTAAAAATTGAGGGTCATCTTATACACGGAAGGAAGCCGAGGAGAGAACAAAAACAAGTGGAGGGGAAAGCAGGGATCAAAGCGATCCTGCAGCGCTTTGATCCCTTTCCCCCTACACTTACTAAACTCCACTTAGATTTCTTAATTTTGGATTAGAAAAATGGGGGGCGTCTTATACACTGAAAAATACGTTAATTGTGTCTTTTTGTGTGTGTGTGGAAAGGAGAAACTAGTTAGAGATACTGTAAGCTGTCGGCTGATCCATCTGGATGTCCAAGATTGGAGAAAGCCAGAACAGGGTGCTACTCAAGCACACAAGTATCTTTTGCTTTCATTTCCAGCTATGAGCTAGCAAGCAACTTCACCGGTTTAATTTCAGCCTGGTGGCCTGCTGTTGGGAACCAGGCATGTGCTGGGATAAGGCAATATAACTGCATCTGTTGAGGCATGTCGGAGAGGCAGCCGGCCAAGGCAGGGCAGAGGGAGCTGTAAGGGGTGGTGGAAGAAAAGCCGCCACAGGCATTTTGCAAGTCAGACAGGATCCGGCCAAGATCGGAGCCAGCCCTAAGACACCGCTGGAGATCCGTGACATACAGCAGGTCTTTTTGGTGGATCGGGCCCATCACTTCCAACCAGCTTTAAGTCTTCTGTTTCCAACCTTCTATGTTTTTGTAAACCAGAAAGGTGGACCGGGGATGCGTCTCTCCCTCTCTGGGAAACCCGGGCGATGCGTCTTCTAAATATAATTTTTTTAAAATGGAAAACATGTATTTTTTTTAAAAAAAAATATATGTGCACAGGACAACCTCTTAGGAAAAGCATCTCAAAGCCCCAAAAGGTATGATGATTTTCGAGCAGATGCCGCTCGGTCCTGTTCCGACAAGAAGTATATATCTATCTACGAAGGGGTTGTGGAATTTGTATTATTTTTATGGTTATATGCTGTCAAGTTGCCTCCAATGCATGGTGACCCTATGAACGAGCGCTCTCCAAAATGTCTTGTCCCCCACAGCCCCTGCTCAGCTCTTGCAAACTCAACCTTGAGGCTTCTGGAGTGAGTCTGTCCATCTCATGTTGAGTCTTCCTCTTTTCCTACTGCCTTCCAAAGATGTCGTCCTGGGAACTGCATTCTGCTTCTCCATCACGTCTATTTTTAAAGTCAAGTGTCCTAATTACAACCTGCTCGCCCATTAAGGCAAGGGGCGTGAATATGTTTCCCAACACTTGAATTAAGTTTGCAGCTTTTAATTAGCCAGGCCTGGGGACTGAAAATCAGCAGTGTTTCCCCATCGCCAGAGCGAGGAGACATGCGAGGCTCAGAAGAACAGCAGGCGTTACGACTTTTGCACCCAACCCATCTTGAGGCGTGGGCGGCATCTTGTTAAAACTCAGCACTCCGGATTGCATTTTTGATTTGCTAGGAATTTCTAAAAAGGAAAGAAATCCTTCGGCTCTACAGCTCTTTCCCAGCTAGGCCGTGGCATTTGCAGCCAGGGCTTGAAGCTTGGTGAATTTCAGTGCAAAGAAAGTCCTCTCCCTCTTTTCAATTCCAGGGCCGTGAAAACAGGGGGGATTTTCTGCGTCGTGCGACCAAGTTGTCCTGTGGCCTCGCCATGCGGCCGGAAGAGGTCGGTTTCTTCTGCTGCCTCCTCTTTCTCCACCTAGCTGTGGCCGAGGCAGGTGAGTCGGCGCCGGCGGGCCAGGATTGAAATTATTGCCCCACCCGGCACAAAATTACTTTATTAACTTTAATAAATTAGGCAGACGGGCCTCAGCTCAGATGGCTCTGAGCGACTGTGAAATGAGACGAGCTGACCACCTTTCTTTCCCACTATAATCAGGTTGCAGACCTAAGGGGAATGGAACTTCCATATTTGGGAGCAGTCTACCTGTGGCCACTAAAAGCATTACTTGCTCGTCATGGGGCTAATTTGTGTCAGAACTCAATGTAGGGCCTCACTGTATGTTTCAGCAATAAATTCCAGGGGAGAGGGGAGAACACCTTCCTTTTTAAATCTATCAATGTTTTAATCTGCATTTATATTCCGTAGGGGGTCGGCCGTGCTCCGCCCGGAATTTCGGGCACGGCTCGCTGGTGTGTGAATGCGGCGCCGACTACTGTGACACCCTGGAGCCGCTCTCTCTCCTTCCCTTAGGCTCTTATGTGAAGTACGAGAGCAATAAGGCTGGGCGCCGCGTCGAGCGCAGCGAAGGGGTGCTGAGCAGTGACCGTCCAGAAAAAGGTGAGGTGGGCGGCTCTTTGACACCTGGCCTCGTGTTGACCAGCCTGTTGCAGAGTTTTGAATTTCCAGTAAAATTCCTGAACCAGAAGGGCAGGGATTCGGGGAGCAGAATAGCTTTCAGTTCCCCAGATTAGTCCACCCCTTAATAGTTCTGAGTAAACGATCTGAAGATATGGGCTACCACCTGTGAAAGCTTATGCCAAATAAAATCTGTTTGTAAGTGACTCAAGACCTCTTTGCTGCTATTTCTACGTGAGAAACAATTACCTTGGAAATCGCTGTTTTCTGATACTTGAAGTCAAACGGTACTACCTTATGTGCTGCAGCGTCTGACGGATGGCTCAGACTCGGCCCATTACCTGCTGCACTCTTATTGCTGATATCCATGAGCGTTTCCTGGAAAGCCGTGTGCCTTGTATTAATTGCCCCTGTGATTAATTAGTTGAAATAAGAGCAGAACTCGTGTGGCATCTAGGAGTAAGAGTAATGGCGCCGCAATCGTAGTGAATCCGGTTTCTGTCTCTGTCTTCACACCTCTTTGGGGGAATTAGAAAAACTCATGCTGACGCTTAAAACATCGGAAAAGTATCAGAAGATCAAAGGCTTCGGCGGAGCACTCACTGATTCAGCTGCGATCAACATCCTGTCGCTCTCCCCGAAGGCTCAGACGAACCTGCTCAAATCCTACTTCTCCGAAGAAGGTCAGTAATAATACGGGGGACGTAAATTCATTTTCTTGGCTCTGTTCTCTGGCCATCCTGGAAAGATCCCACCGCTGCCACCAGGTCAGGGTTTCCCGTTTTAATCCCTCCGCCCCATCTTTACACTCGAGTTGTCCTCCTCAGCTGGACCTGTTCATGCAGAGCGCTTGATGTATCCGTGGAAATTAAAATTGCAATCCGGGTGAGGTTCCTAAACAGAAAAGCCCAGAGGGAGCAGCCATGGCTAATGAGTCCTTCAGAGATTTCCCGGTTACACTGATCTGTTTTTTTGTTTTTTGTTTTTCCTGCCTTCTCTCCCAGGGATCGAGTACACCTTGGTCCGCGTGCCCATGGCCAGCTGCGATTTTTCAGTGAGGCTGTACACCTACGACGACTGGGAGGATGACTTTGAGCTCAAAAACTTCAGCCTGACGGAAGAGGACACAAAGATGAAGGCAAGTCACGAGTTCAAAAACAGGAATTTAGATTCTGTCCGAGATGTGTTTTTATTCGGAGTGGATGGGATGCAAAGGGCAGTGGTGACATTTGATTTTCTGTTGGAAGGCTGTTTTTAAAAATCATTTCTACCGGGTGGGGTGGGGTTCGTGGCCTGATCTGAGATTCAAAGCTCAGTTTTTACAGCTCTATCTTGACCTGTATGACCGTTCCTGTTTCATTTTATTATCATCCTACTCCTTAGAGAAGCCAACATAGGAGACCTCCTTTCAATCTCTGGCTTCTGCTGAGGTAGCCTTCACCTTTGAAGGTGCCTTGAAGTTCGGACCTAGCCCCTTGAGGACTAGAAACTTGCTTTGCCAAATTGGAGATGATGGCATATTTTCTTTCCCTTTGCCTCCAGATCCCTATCCTGCAGCAAGCTCAGGCGGTCGCCTCCAAGCCTCTCTTGCTCTACGCCAGTCCGTGGACTTCTCCTGTGTGGATGAAAACCAACGGGGCCATGACGGGTCGCGGCACCCTCAAAGGGAAACCGGGAGACAAGTATCACAAGACTTGGGCCAATTATTTCATCAGGTAACGACCCCTAAGCATGGCTTTCAGTTCCACGTTCCCCTCTGTGGATGGCAAAAACCCATAGATATGCAAAACCTACACGTCCTATTTTCAGGCAGTGGATAGCTGAAACTGCGGATAACTGAAACCGCAGATCCAGGAGTCTTACAGGACTTCATAGAAGAATGGAGTCGGAAGGGGTCGGTAAGGCCATCAAGTCCAACCCGCTGCTTCATGAGAAGGGGCCGGTAAGGCCATCAAGTCGAACCCGCTGCTCCATGCAGGGAGGCACCGCTCGCTGCTTTCCTTAGTCCCTGCTGAGACACCGCTCGCTGCTTTCCTTAGTCCCTGCTAAGTCATTCTTCAGTCTTGATGATGATGATGATGATGATGATGATGATGATGATGATGATTTACACACAACAGCTGGACTAGGTCTACAGAGTAGTGGCATGTTTCAAGAAAAGGAGGGGGTCAGTCTCTGTTTGTTTAGGTTCGTTAAACCTAGGAAAGACACAGCACAAGAGGAAAGGCAGACGAGGAGGGAAGAGGAAAACTCAAGCCAATGTTTCTTGATGTCATGAGGTTCTCCAGCTTGCTGGACTGGTTGCTTTGATCACCAGAGAATGTGACCTTGCAAACACCTTACGAGACTTGGAAACTTTTTAGTTCTGCCTCTAAAGCCTTCCCCGCCGTTCTTCCTTCCAGGTTCCTGGACGAATACGCCAAGTATAACTTGACTTTCTGGGCCGTGACGGCGGGAAACGAGCCGACGGCTGGGGACATCATCTTCTACCCGTTCCAGTGTCTGGGGTTCTCCCCCGAGCATCAGCGGGACTTCATTGCGCAGGATCTGGGCCCCGCTTTGGCGAACAGCTCTTATAAAGGCATTGAGCTGATCATTCTCGACGACCAGCGAGTGATGTTGCCGTACTGGGCGGAAGTGGTGAGTGAGGATTCTAGCGGCCGAACCCTCTTAAAAAAGAGAAAAAAGAGCTATTTTTTCCTCTGTGATTCCCTGCACTTCAGCTAGAGGAATTTAACCCAAAGTTCAAAACTCTGCAAAATTTCTAAAATAAAATCCTGAGGTTAAATATCTGCCTCCTGATCTTGAACCATGGGTTCATAGCTATGGCGTAGAATAAAGATATTATAGTTAATATGAGAAACGCAATAGGAAGCAGACACTTAAAATGGGTTTTGAGAATGAATATTGTAGAGCACTGTGTATTTTCAGTTCTGCGGTGTGGTATGGAGCAATAGATTTTAATGCAATTTACATTTTTTTTAAAAAAAACAAGATTAAGGCATTTGAAATGAGGCTTTATTGCAGAATACTCAGAATTTCTGCGCTGAAAGGGTGATTAATACTTCTTCGCTGAAAGATAAAGAATTAAAAAGAATTAAAAGATCAAGAATTAAAAGAAACTAGGAAACACAAAATGAAGAAATCAGAAATTGTAAATTATATGCCTCAGATTATAAAGATTTTACTCAGCAATTGTTTTAGAAGTTGAATTCTTTTTTCCCCAAAACTTTTTATTAGGTTTTCCCCCCCTATTAGTAAAATCAAACATTTTAAAGTGTTCTGTTTTAATCCTCTTTTAACTTTGTAACAATATTGTATTCTAATCCTCTCTCTCTCTTAACCATTGAATAAACATCTCTAAATCCCAGTTTTGGGAGAAAGATAGCATATAAAACAAACAAACAAACAACTATTGTTACTTCTATAAAACAAGGAAGCAAAGAGTTACTTCTATTGTTACATCTATAAAACAAGGAAGCAAAGAGTTACTTTTAAAAACGTTAACTCTCCTGGCAACTTTGTTTTGGCCTGGGAATTATAGCCATTCGAGGAAATCCTATTTTTCATAAGTGGCTTTTCGAGCGCTGTCCTCCATGAGGTCTAGAAGCATGTGTGTAGAATTTTAAAAACGGTTCCAGTTCTGCTGCAAATATGATGCTTTCCTTCTCGTATTTCTAGGTTCTTAAGGACCCCGTGGCAGCCAGTTATATCAACGGCATCGGCATTCACTGGTATCTGGATTTCCTGGCGCCCATTGACCTGACGCTGTCCATCACCCACCACCTCTTCCCCAACTATTACCTCATTTCCACCGAAGCCTCCACGGGATCTTACTTTTGGGAGCCACGAGTAGTGCTGGGAGGATGGGACCGCGGAAGTAAATACAGCCACAGCATCCTGGCAGTACGTTTTACTCAGCTGAGCTGAGCTGGGTTGACATCTCCGGTGGCTCTTTCTGAGTGTTAAGACGCCTGTGTAGGCTCAGAAGCTTTCCAGTTTTTCTCCCCGCCGAAAGCAAAAGGAGAATTCACGCCCATAGAAGCCTCCAGGCCACGGAGGGCTGGAGACTCCCCTTTGGGAATGCTGTGAATCCGTGCCGGGTTTTACTCTGCACTTTACAGCCATGATTGGAGGCATTGAATCCTCCCCTAAAATCAATTCAGTGCTTTGGGCGATGCCTGCAAAGTGGAAAGGAAAACCTGGAGTGGATGCATGGCACCTCTGGAGCAGGAGTCACTCTCCATTAAAACGAGGCAGCGAAACTAACCCGCACCTTAATCATGTGCTTTTTAAAAGACGATTCAGACTTAAGACAAATCTTCCAAGTTTTTCGGGGTCTAAAGCACTCAGATGCGGTTTACGCGTCCCTCCTTCTGGGGACACGAGCCTCCACACAGCCTGCCTGAAGCTGGACAGGTGGCCGGTCATCCCATCCACCACACACGCCCTGGGGAATCTCGACTGGGAGGCACAGTGAGGATTCGAACTCCCCACCCTTGGTTCTGTAGCCAGGCACTAGAGTATTGGGCAGTTCTCTTTCTATCTAGAACCCCTTAAAAAAAGGGGAGGTCCTTCAGCTGTAGTGTACTTAGTAGCTCAGTGGTCTCAGAGGTTGGGAGTTTGAATCCTCCGCGGTGCCTCTTTGAGAGGGGCTGGACCGGATGATGTATAAGATCCCTTCTAGGCTGGTAGTTCTGTTATAAATCTGGTTCTGATTAAAGAAAAAATTCACTGCTTTCCATGGCAGAATCTCAATAACTACGTCACCGGATGGACCGACTGGAACCTTGTGCTGGACATGGAGGGGGGTCCCAACTGGAGCAAGAATTACGTGGACAGCCCCGTCATCGTGGACACAGCCCGCGACGTTTTCTACAAGCAGCCCATGTTCTACCACATGGCCCATTTCAGGTGAGGAGAAAGCTTCAGAGCTGGGCGGGAGGGCCCATCCCAACATCTCCTGGCTTGGGGATTATGGGTGTTGTTGTCCGAAAGACCTCCGCCTGTCGGCACCCCCCTCCCTCGCTCAAGGCTAGCGGTCGCGTGGCCCCTGAGAGACTGAACTAGGTCTGGGCAAGTGCTGATCTGGGGCGGTGTTGTTTTTCCTGAGAATGATACACACATGCATTTTCATTTCTTGTTTTGTTTGAAATAACGCGGACATCCAACGTAGTAAGTTTCTCCCGGAGGGAACGCAGCGGATCGGCATCCAGTCCAACACATGGACCGGCCTCGAGTTCTCCGCTTTCCTGCGCCCGGATGGCTTGGCCGCCGTTGTGGTCTTGAACAGGTTGGTGGACGATGGGTACTGTGAAGCGTGCCCCATGAACGTGGGAACCCCGGTGTGGCCGTTCGAGTAGACCCATTTGAATCCATGAAACCTAGAGAGGTGTGGCCTCACCCTCTCCTGGTTAACTCAATGGGCTTACTCTATTGCAATTTACTACGAGGACCTGGGCTTCTGTGTCTCTAATCGTAACTACCTACTCTTCGGGAAGAGGCCTTGTGACTCTTATTAATTACTTTTTAAAATGACATTGCAAACGCAGCTTTTTATGCCAGTCTACATATTTCACCCGAAGACCTACCACACTAGACAACAGCCTTTATTTTCTCCTCTCCTTTAAAATTGCAGATTATTTTTCTAGCTGACCTTGGGAGGGGGGGAGAGAAAATTCTTCCATTGTACTTCAATACACCTCAGTGCGGTTCACTTACACTGCCTTTATCTTCTCCACTCCTTTAAACCTGCAGATTATTTTTCTAGCTGACCTTGGGGGTGGGGGGAGAGAAAATTCTCCCAATGCACTTCAATACACCTCAGTGTGGCTCACTTAACTCTAATGCAGTTCAAAGGCTAAATTAGATTTCCGGCTGATCTTGGACCAAAAAAAAACCCCAAACTTTCTCCCAATGCACTTCAATACACCTCAGTGTGGCTCACTTAACTCTAATGCAGTTCAAAGGCTAAATTAGATTTCCGGCTGATCTTGGACCAAAATTTTTTTTTCTCCCAGTGCACTTCAATATACCTCAGTGTGGTTCACTTAACTCTAATGCAGTTCAAAGGCTGAATTAGATTTCCGGCTGACCATGGACCCCAATTTTTTTTTCTTCCAATGCACTTCAATGCACCTCAGTGTGGTTCACTTAACTCCAACGCAGCTTAAAGGGCATGAAGGAGGCCCCTTGAGTCACATTTTGGCGAAAGCCCTGGTGATTTGGAGGATGCTGAAAACAGCCAACGGGGCTGCTGGCTGGATTCACTTAACTACAATGCAGCTTAAAGGGCGTGAAGGAGGCCGTTTGGGTCACCCCTTGGCGAAAGCGCCAGTGACCCGGAGGATGTTGAAAACAGCCAACGGGGCTGCTGGCTGGAGCGTGTCCTTTGTTTCCACGCCTGGCGCATCTGCGGCGTGAATCCCTGACTCCGATTCTGCCCCTCAGGTCCCCCGAAGACATCCCGTTCGGAATCTCGGACCCCGGCGTGGGCTTCATCGACGCGGTGGCCACGGCGGATTCCATCCAGACCTACCTCTGGCAGCGACCCCCAGGGAACCAGGAGGAGCTCAGCCACAACCCTCCGGACGCTGGGCGCCCCACGAGTCGCCACTCCTTCTGGGACATTTTGTTTCCTCAATCAGCCCCTTACGGCTAGCGGGTGGAGTGTGTGTGGGGGTCCCCTTGCAGGGTGCCTGGGGAGGGGGCCTGCTGGCTGGGTCGAAGGCCTGCATGAACCAGGACGATGGGAAATCCTGCCGTAAACAGAGTCAACTTCAGTTAATAGTTTCACATTTTGCTTTTCCATTTAATCCATTAACTCTATCGTGTTTTCCACCCTTTTCTCCTGTCCTTGGGGGTCTCTTCCTCCCCCTCCCCATATTTTTTTCATACAATAAACCATTTTTTTTCTAGAAATCCCATCTATTTTTCTTCGTCTCTCAGGACAGGAGGGGGGGGTTGGAAGGATAGCCGGGAAAATCCGTCCTCAGGGCGAGACACGATGTCGCCGGCCTCCCTCAAACCCTCTCAATGTTTCTTTAAAAAAAAATTAAATTTAACACTGTTATGCCCCTCATTGCCAAGATTCCCAAAGTAATTCATGAACAGGAAGGGAGGAAGGAGGGAAATTTAAGTCTAACAGATCAGGAGTATTATTAACTCATACCCCCTTAACTGATTTTAGAGGCTTTTTCCTTTCATTTTTAAAAAAACTCCTTTTATTAGATGTATTTGTAGGCCTGTGTTTTATATTTTTGGGGTCACCTCCAACCCATTTAGGATCATCATAACCTTAGAATGGCACACCTGGAAGAGACCCTAAAGATCATTAAGTCCAGCCCGTCAAGGAGGCAGGGGTGTGTGTGGATTCGAACTCCCAACCTCTGGCTCCATAGCCAGAGAGCTAAACCACAGAGTACGAAGGCCAATAAGGCTGCAAGCCAGTTCCTCCATGACAGCACGTAACTCTGGAGAGGGACTGGCCACAGAGTCACTCCCCAACACCACCACCACCTCCTTCCATCATCCTACCCGGGAGGCCAGGCAAACAACACCCATCCAGGCCACCCAGCGTGATTTAACCAGGACGCCAAACCCCGAAGTCTGAAATTAAACAGCCAAACCCCAAACCTGAATTCTATGGATTCCGGGAAGACGCCCATCATGACACTCGTGGCTGGAGAAGGAGGGGACGGACGGAAAAGAGGACGCAAGGCCAAGATAAAGAGGTCAACCACAACGTTGTGAAAAGTGAAGGGCGGTCTGGCGCAAGGAGGCCGATGGGGAGGGGGGGGCGATGGTTTGCCGCAAAGCTGGCAGCCCCAGAAAGGTCACCCTGTCTGGATCCACAGCAGAGGCAGCTGCATTGAAGGCAGCAAAAATGGGCCCCCCATATACAGTGGTGCCTCGCTTGACGATGTTAATTCGTTCCAGCGAAATCGCTGTAGAGCGAAAACGTCGTCAGACGAAATTAAAAAAGCCATTGAAAACTGTTCAATGCGTTCCAATGGGCTGAATACCTGCTCGTCCAGCGAAGATCCTCCATACGGCGGCCATTTTATGGTGCCTGTTAAGCGAGAAAAATCTGTCCTAAAAACAGCCGGGGGGGCATTTTCTGCAGCCGGCAGCCATTTTGAAACCCGACAATCAGCTGCTTGCTGATTGTCGTAAAGCGAAAATCGGTTCCCGAAGCAGGGAACCGATCATCGTGAAACAAAAAAAAACCCATTTAAACCATCATTTTGCGATCGCAAAAGCTTCAACGTTAAGCGGATTCGTCTATTACATGGCGTTGCACGGCCCCAAAGAGCCAGAAACGGAAAAAAAACGAGATCCACGGCGAAAAACCGCAAGATAACCTGTTGATTCGGTAAGCACCCGGGACGGCCCAAATTTGCGAGGAAATATAATAATCAACATCTTGGAATTGCAGAATCGTAAGGGGCCCTATAGATCATCAAAGTCCAGCCCCTGTCAATTGGGCATGGTGGTGATTCGAACTCCCAGCCTCCCAAACCATTGAGACGCCTAGCCCTTCGTTTTCACCCGGCAACTTCTTGACCCCCATCAACCCAAAGTGCGGTGTAAATCCCGTTTTCTCATATTCACTCCTGAGGACAAGGAACTGGGGAATTATTCTTCACACTCATGAAAGGGCTAGAGCAGTTTTAACCGCTCTTGACAAAACAACAAAACGCACATGTTTTGTATACATTACACAAAGTTTGCACAAAATAACAAGAGTGGACAAAACAACAGCTGTCGCACTGGAGAATAAGGAGTAGAAGCACGGGGGGGGGCCCTACATCTTAAAAAATTAAATCATCCACTGTTTTTCCAGGCTTGTACTCGCCCTGTGCTTCTAGGCCTCGCTCGGCCTAGCATCCTGTTCAGACAGAAAGCTCCCAGCTAGCACTGGGGCAGGAACAGGAAGTTAAGGGGGAGTTAGGCCTAGCTAAGCTTAGTTTAGGCCTTTTCTCCCAGGTGAGCCACATTCAGATGCCTGTAAGTCAGGTAGAACTCCCAGAGGGGGGAGCTATGGGATTTGTAGTCCAAGAAACTGAAAACAAAATCCCATCTCTGTTTGACATTCCCGAGAAGCCAAAGTTGTCAGAAGAATGCCACATGTATAAAACTCTCTCCAAAAGCTGGTTCACAGATTTTTTATTGGTGACCCACCGCTTCCCCTCTACCCAAATTCTGGAATGGACAAGAAGGGAGGGAGAGGGGGCCCCAGAACAGTACAAAAAAATCCCTAAATGGTCCATTTGGAGAAGGCGCAACGGAACGTTCCCCAACAGTACGGCTCAATCCTCGTCTTGCTCGTCGTCCTCGTCGAGGGTGACGGCTCGGGTCGCCCCAGGTTGGGGCGGCTGCTTCTGGATGGAGACGATGCCCGTGAGGAGGGCGTACCCGATCATCGCCACCAGCCCCACCAGGACCGATAGGACTTGGTGTCGGCGTTGGTAAGGCTCGTCCTCGCTGTCGTTGCCATCGCCGGTGGCCGCCCTTGGGACGCTGGGTGGAGGGTCCCCTGGAAGAAGGGAGGAAAGAGAAAGCTGGGGTCCTAAATCCCAGAATCCTTCATCCCAGGGGCTTCTGGGAGTTGTAGTCTAACAAGAACAGGGACCCCCCCCCCAAAGGTCGGGATTGTCGTCATTCCAGAGCTGGCCTCTACACTCAGGGCGGTAGGAGGTCGCGACCCGAGTGCGAGGTGATAAACTATTTCCACTCTGCTTCTTTACACTACTTTGCTGCCTCATGTGAGGTGCAGAAATGGCCAAATGTGTGTTTCTGGGCCACAACTCCTAGAATGAAGGCAGCTTGCAGAATTATGTCACGTTGCAGAATTTGGGCGGTCTTTCCGCAGAACTGCATTGCAACGAAGGATTTTTTTTTTCCTTCTGGACTACAAACACAATAACCTTCCATTTTGGGAGTTCTGCCCTCCTTATAAGCCCCTAAATGTGGCTCGCCTGGGAGAAAGGCCTCCTCCGGAAGGCTCTGAGGCCTAGCTCGGCCTAGCTTTCCTGAAAGATCTGCTCCCAGCAAGCACTGGGGCAGGAACAGCAGCTCGGCCTAGCTTTCCTGAAAGACCCGCTCCCAGCAAGCACTGGGGCAGGAACAGGAAGCTCAGGTGGAGCTAGGCCGAGCTAGGCCTCTAAAGCCTTCCCGTTGAGGCCTTTCCCCCCCCCCAGGTGAGCCCCATACAGGCGGAAGGCGTGTGTATGTCGGGCAGAACTCCCTGCAAAGTGAACGATGGGATTTGTAGTCCAGAAAATCTGAAAACCCTGTCTCTACTGAATTGCTCCTTTTTTTTTAAACTAGGAAGTCAACACAGAAACAAGAACAGCTGGTCAGGGAGACAGGGTTTTCCGATTTTCTGGACTACAAATCCCATCGTTCACTTTGCTTTTGCTTCAGACGATTATTTGGGAAACATTTCATGCCCTGAACCCCACAACCTGCAGTTCCCTCCTCTCACCACCTTTTGCAACGGGGGGTGGGTGGGTGGAGAGATACTGCACTCACCTTCGTCCCAGGGGAAGTAAAGGCTTAAGATGGACATGCAGTAATTGCAGAGGTTCGGCAGAGATTTGAGGTGCTGTTGAAGTTTCGGGTTGGGGAGTTTGGCCTTCAAGAGTGGGGCTAAGTAGCTGAAGACGACGGCGTCCAGGGAGGCAGGCCTGAACGTGGAAAGAAAAGGAAAAACCAGACACATGGATTGAGGGAACATAATTAAGTGGGGTAAAGCATCCATTTCTTGTAACGTCATAGGCAGATGTAAGCCCGTCGGTCTCTCTCTTAGACCCAATTCAGTCACACAAGCACAAATATATACAGTGGTGCCCCGCTTGACGATGATAATCAGTTCCAGCAAAATCGCTGTAGAGCGAAATCGTCAAGCAAAAAAAAAAAACACCAATTGAAATGCATTGAAAACCGGTCAATGCGTTCCAATGGGGGAAATACCTCACTGTCCAGCAAAGATCCTCCACAGGGCAGCCATTTTCCTATGCCTGTATAGCGAAGAATCCGTCCTGAACACAGCTGGGAGCCATTTTACACAGTGGGCAGCCATTTTGAAAACCCAACAATCAGCTGCTTTTGATTGTCGTTAAGCGAAAAATTCGTTCCCGAAGCAGGGAACTGATCATCATCAAATGAAAATCGCCCATAGAATCATCATTTTGCGATTGTAATAGCGATCGCAAAAACATTGTCGTCAAGCGATTTTGTTGTATAACGAGGTAATCGTCAAGCGGAGCACCACTGTATATTATTTATGTACGATGATGCGTCTTTCACACCTCCCTGAGAATAGCAGTAGGGATTCTAGCTTCCTTTACCTCGAGCGGCTTTAATATTATTAATTACATTTCTATAGGTCCATTATATTTCAATTCCATTCTATCCTATCAAGTCTGGGCTCACTCCAGAATCCAAAACGATTAAAATTAACACCATCCTCCACGGGGCACCTCATGAGAAGGCCGGATTCTCTGGAAAAGACCATCCTGCTGGGACAGGTGGAAGGCAGCAGGAAAGGAGGAGGACCCAATGTGAGATGGGCTGACTCGATGATGACCCCCCTAAAACGGTGATGTCTTTCAGGTCCCACAAGTCTCTTGGCTGGTTTTGCTGTAACAACTGAACCAGGTTTCTGCCCCTGAACCCGCAGTGCCTCGACATAAAAAGAATTAGGGATTCAGGCAGTCAAATGGACTTTGGCATCTGCTTCAAGATGGACTGACTCAATGATGACCCCCCCCAAAACGGTGTCGTCTTTCAGGTCCCACAAGTCTCTTGGCCGGTTTTACTGTAAGAGCCGGATCAGGTTTCCGCCCCTGAACCCGCAGTGCCTTGACATAATAAGAATTAGGGATTTAGGCAGTCAAATGGACTTTGGCATCTGCTTGGCTTCTTAGACTTCCCACAAGCGAACTTACGAGTCTCCGAAAAAGAATTTCTGTCTTCCAAGGCGCTGGGACAAAAGGGTCAGGCATTCCCGAGCTTCACGGTACAGCTGTGGGGCAGAGAAAGAGCATCAGGCTAAAATCAACCCCATATCGGATTCTTGCATCTCCAATCTCCACCGGGAGCGGCTCTTTTGTAAAGCCAATGGGCCTTTATGGGCCATGCAAAATCAATCATCATTGCAGTAGGATCTCAGTATCTGTGAGGGATCAGTTCCAAACATTCCAGAGATGCTGAAAACGTGGATTATATATAGCAAGTGCTATATATAGCATGGTCTCCAGCTTCCTCTAATGGCCAGTTCTGTGCATTTCATCTTTAGAAATATGTACTTCTAGCATTCTTAACGTTCTTAATATTTTTCAGACTGTGGATAAGTGAATCAGCGGATACCGATCTCACTGAGCCGCTGTCTGAAAATATTAAGAGAAACTTCCTAGAAATATGTATTTCTAAGAATCAAGCTAACAGGCCATAAGAGGGAGACCATGCTATGCTTAGTGTTTGCTATCACTGATCCGCTGTCTGAAAATATTAAGAGAAAAATCCTAGAAAAATGTATTTCTAAGGATCAAGCTAACAGAACAGGCCATAAGAGGGAGACCATGCTATGCTTAGTGTTTGCTATGAAAATAGTGTTTGCTATTATCCACGCTTTTCAGCATCCACAGGGAACTTGGAACCAATTCCCTGTGAGTCTTACTGTATTGGTAAATTTGGGGTTGGCACGGCGGTTGATCGGCAAGGGTTTTCACCTCCTTCTCCAGCTCCTCCTCGTTTTCTAGGCAGTCTTCCCCGCAGACCGTCTTCAGCCGTTCCAGCTGCTTCTTCTGCATACGGCCCGGCAGGAAGAAGTTGAGCGGGAACGGGATGGCTTCGGCGTACCATTTCCGGGTGTGCTCCACGTAGTTCTTGGCGTCCACCCAGAAGGTGTGGATCTGTCAAGAGGGAAAAGGGGTTGGCGTCACAACGGACCCTCTCCCCGGCACCAGTTTAGCTGCTCTTTTTTAATACCCCTGGGCTCCTGGATGCGCGCTCTGGACTTGCTCGGCGACCTCGGGCAGGGAATCCCACCACTTGTGCTTTGCAACTCTTGAGCCACTTCTTTAGGGAAAAGACACTTCAAAGGCTTGTGCTTTGCAACTCTTGACCCACTTCTTTAGGGAAAAGAAACTTTAAAACAAAAGTTTCTAGCCCTCATGACTTGGTCAGTGGCCTCGGGCAGAGAATCCCACTGCTTTTGCTTTGCAACTCTCAACCCACTTCTTTAGGGAAAAGACACTTCAAAGTTTCTAGCCCTCATGATTGGAGGAGAGAGTCTTTCAAGAACGTTGTCGTAAAATCCTCTCCTCGAGAGAAAAACCAAACAGCAAAGCGGGAGAAAGGAGAACAAAGCGGAAATCACTCTCTTGGCTCCTGATGGTTATGGGGTACATTGTGTGTGTGTTTGTGTGCTGTTTTTAAAAACAAGAAGGGGGAAAAAAATCACATCAACTGCAAACGTGTGACCCCTTTCCAGGCCAGAGCGTTGCAAGGACTGTTGGAAGACGAGCCGGATACCAAGCCGTGGCTTTTACGCTTACCAGCGCTGGCAACAGCTTCTCCTGTAGCAGCGAAAGGAAGGCTAGCGTGTCCGCCCCTTGCCGAGCCGAGAGGTCATAATCGGCGTTGAATTTCTAGAGAGCGAAAGGGAGGAAGATCAACATTGGGAAGGGCACCCCCCCTATCTTTGGACACCCAGTTCCCTGAAAAGCCAAGAAAGGGGTGATGCTCCGAGATTTCTTCCCCGAGGGATGAAATTGGTTATATCGGGAAATCAAGAAAACTGGAAAGAAACACAGGGAGCCAGTAAGAGATTTTTTTCATGCAAAAAATTGCCTTCTTTTTTTCTTTTTGTCAGCATAAGCCTTGATAAAACAAAATGGATTTTAATTTAATTGAGTTTTCGTTTTTAATGAAAAGCTTGCATTTTGCATCTGGAACCTTGTGTTCAGTGCAGAACACCCCTCCTTCTGCACAAAATATCATCACCATCTTCTTACAACTTCAGAGCTGGAAGGGACCCTACGGATCATGGGAGCCCAATCAAAAACAGCAAATTTGAGCCAAATCTGCCCCCTCATTTTTTTTTCCCCCGGCTGGAAATCTGGAGAACACCCAGAAAGTGCTCATAAAGCTTCCAGTGGGGGGAAAAATCATATTTATTTAAAATATCATTATCCTGCTTTTCTCCTTCAAAAGGACCCGAGGCGGCTTACATCATCAAAAGACAATATTTTAAAGCTAAAGACAGCAAGCACGCAATTATGAAAAAAAGAATCAAACAGCTACCACGCTAAAAAATGGCGTGCAACGCTTTGTTCTCGCCTGCAAAAATAAATACAACAGGCAGAGGGATTTCCATGGAAAATGTGGGATCCCAAATCCCTGATCCCAAATCCCCCTGGCTCTCTCTGCAGGGCTGGCTCAAGAAGGGATCAGGATGAGGCCACTGCCTTTAAACTTCGGAGGCGCTGCAGGTTTTCGTTCACGCCCTCCGGGGAGCAAATTTCGGTGGCCCCGAAATTAGGACACCCTGGGGCCTAAGTTTGCAGAGTTTCGGCTTAGGTACGTCTCCGGGGACGCTTACCTGTTTTCGGAGGTGGGTGATGATCTGTTGGGGCTCAGAGATGATGCCATCATCCTTCGACTTCAGCGCCGGGAGAGTTCCTGCAACAAGAAGAAGAAGAAGAAGAAGAAGAAGAAGAAGAAGAAGAAGAAGAAGAAGAAGAAGAAGAAGAAGAAGATTAAGAATAAGAACAAGAAGAAGAAGAAGAAGAAGAAGAAGAAGAAGAAGAAGAAGAAGAAGAAGAAGAAGAAGAAGAAGAAGATTAAGAATAAGAACAAGAAGAAGAAGAAGAAGAAGAAGAAGAAGAAGAAGAAGAAGAAGAAGAAGAAGAAGAAGAAGAAGAAGATTAAGAATAAGAACAAGAAGAAGAAGAAGAAGAAGAAGAAGAAGAAGAAGAAGAAGAAGAAGAAGAAGAAGAAGAAGAAGAAGATGGTGATGGTGATGGTGATGATGATGAAAGGGAGCAGCTAGTAGGGTGGTCTTCTTGCTAGTCAAGGTCTAAGTCAGCCAGCCCTCATGTCCGTTTCTTGCATTAATTCAAGACGGTTCACTTCTAGAATTACGAATACTGGTGAACAGGACAGGAGGAACGGTGGCTTCTTTAATCACATGGCCAGCCCTGTGTGCTGGTATGATGATAAAAATTAATCAGGACTCTGAGCATGTACAGAGTGCTTGCTTCCTTCCTCGGGCAAATCTCTCCTGCTCCACCTACTCCTCGGAATCTGTGCCCAGGGAAGCCACGCATCGATTAAGCCAACCTTGTCTCCCCCTCTGAGAAACAGGAATCCATCTTGAGGACTAGGAACTTGACAAGTGCTGAGATGACTCAGAGAAGTCCGCCAGTTTTGACCGGATGCCATCAGCGAGCGATAATTAACTTGTTGAAGCTGTTTGTTAAGAGAAAACCGCGGCCCATGCCCCCCGAATGTTACCTGAGGGGCTTCGCCAGGGGTTTGTGATTTTGTGAACCTTCAGCGGTGCTCCGGTGAATCGGGCGTAAGTCTGGAAGGAAGATAAAACGAGTTAATGAACAACGCAATTCTTGCTTAAGCTCAGGGGCGGCTTTTTAAAAAAGAAATGCCGCTTTTCTCACAGAAAACCCAGAAGGACATATAAAATTCGCCCCCTCTCCCAGCTTTTATCACCACAACAAGCTTGCGAGGTAGGCCGGCAGGTAACCATGGCCAGTCCTTCTGTCTCTGATGGACAAGACAGGCTAATTTTACAGAATAAAAACCTCAACGGGAGTGACTCGAAAATTCAGCAACCACACCAAGAAAATAGGTCTAAAACAAAGGAGAGGGGGGAAAATTACAAAGTCAGCTTCCAAACGAAGACTAAAACTGGTTTGTTATTCATTCCTTATTTTTTAAATGTGTTGATTAACCAATCTGTTAGTTAACCGACGTTTTAAAACAAGACATTTTAGGCTTTTAAAGGCCAAGTGAATCATAAGGCATATATTACTGGAAAAAAACCACAGCCAGCATTAAAACTGGGTTTGTCAAAACCTTTTTTTTAAAAATGTATTGCTATTATTTACGATTAGCCACTATCCCATTCTCATTATTATAATAATGCTATGTGGGACTATATCTGTATTAGCCACTTCCACAGGAATAGTAAGCAGTCTCTAAAGTGTGTAACATGAAAACACAAATTTTTTAAAATTTCAGACAGCAAATTGACTGCTCTTATTATGACAGGCCTTTGTTTTCCCCCCCTTGCTCCCCTAAACCCTAGCAGCATCCAACTGCCAAAGAAGAAGGGAACGTATCCTAACTTCGAAATCTTATAAACCCTTTAACTAAATTTTATTTGGCACAAAATAAATGCAGACCGCAGCCTGCTTTTTTTTTTCAGATGCAGCCTGCAAAGCCAAAACTGCTGGTTTCTCAAGCTGCTGCAAAAGGATCTCAAAATGAGAGAAAGCCAGAGGATCTTCCCATTCGGGGGATCCGGGCAGGTTCGAACCAAATTAAAAGGTCTGGAATTAAAAACTAAACGCGCTGTGCGTTTTTTTGGTAAATCCCCACCTTTCACACATACGGGGAGTGAAATCTTTAGCTGCCTTTCCACAGGAATAGTAAGCAGTCTCTAAAGTGTGTAACATGAAAACACAAATTTTTTAAAATTTCAGACAGCAAATTGACTGCTCTTATTATGACAGGCCTTTGATTTAAGCAGGTAGCCTGGTTTCTGAAATATAAACAAGTGCAGTATGAGGATGAGCTGAAATTTCTCCCAGGGTCTTTTAATTTTTAATATTTGGCCCTTTGCAATGTTGTTCCTATTCGGACCTACGAGGCTGCATGTTGACCGATGGTCAACTTCTTCCCACTTTTTTTTTTCAGATGCAGCCTGCAAAGCCAAAACTGCTGGTTTCTCAAGCTGCTGCAAAAGGATCTCAAAATGAGAGAAAGCCAGAGGATCTTCCCATTCGGGGGATCCGGGCAGGTTCGAACCAAATTAAAAGGTCTGGAATTAAAAACTAAACGCGCTGTGCGTTTTTTTGGTAAATCCCCACCTTTCACACATACGGGGAGTGAAATCTTTAGCTCCTGCAAAGCCAAAACTGCTGGTTTCTCAAGCTGCTGCAAAAGGATCTCAAAATGAGAGAAAGCCAGAGGATCTTCCCATTCGGGGGATCCGGGCAGGTTCGAACCAAATTAAAAGGTCTGGAATTAAAAACTAAACGCGCTGTGCGTTTTTTTGGTAAATCCCCACCTTTCACACATACGGGGAGTGAAATCTTTAGCTGCCTCTTTAGATAAAAGTACTGTACTTTTTAAAGTTTTTGGTCGGGTGGAAGAAACCCTTCCGGTTGCTCCTGTTTGGAACCGAATTAAAGAAGGCGCGGGGAGAAGGGACGAAGCGAAGCGGCGCGCTTTTGGAAAGGGTGCGTTCCTGTCCCGTATTTTGGGTGGTGGTGGGGGTAGGTTTCCTGGAAAGAAAGGGGTGCCCCCCATACCAAAGGAAGGTCCTATTAAGGGGCAGATCTTTGGGGGTGTCCCCCCTCCCTGTCGCCCCGGCGTGCGCTCCCTCCCCGCTCCCCAAAAAACCAGTTACCAAAACGGTCAAGCAATCCGGATCCACCGTGGGCAAGCCCCAGCCGCTCGCCCAGCAATACAGCTCCAAGGGCGCCGCCATCTTTTCAGGCTTTCGACCCGGAACAACACACACAACACACACACACGTAACACACACACACACACTCCGGGAGCAAACGAGCGAAAGAGGCGTCGCTCCGGTTCTGCTCGCGTCCTTGAAGGCGCAATGACCAAAGGCGCGCGTGGGAAGCGCCCTTGGAGAGAGAGAGGGGTACCCCCTCTCCAAATGGAAATTTCCATGGATTTTTTATTTTTTGGTGGGGATATCCCATTGCAAAACCCCCACGTCCTAGGAAGGCCTTTTACTCGCGAGGAAGCGCCGGGATCGGGAGCTGCTTTGGTTTTTCAAAGTCTGAAAAAAAAACTTTAGGTAGAAATCCCGAAGGAGCGGATTTTGTTTCTTTTCTTTCTTTTTTATTGTTTTGGAAGGGGGACAACTGGGTGGAGCGGGGGGGGTGGCTGGCCTGTTTTAGGGACGGCGAGGAAGGGCGGTGGGCAGCTGAAATAAAACAGAAGGAAATAGAATAAAGTAAAATAAAATGTGTTTTTGTATGTATGTATGTATGTATGTATGTATGTATGTATGTATGTATGTATGTATGTATGTATGTATGTATGTATGTATTATTTATTTGTTTGTTTGTTTGTTTGTTTGTTTGTTTGTTTGTTTGTTTGTTTGATTTTTACCCCGTAGACAATGTCTCCTCCAGGGATTCCTGGAGATAGGGTCTTGTTAATGGGAAAAATTGTTAGTATTTTCAGCATGTTGGGTGAAAAGCAGATTTAAGGAGGAAGGGAGAACAATGACTGAAATACAAAAGTAAGTTGCTTCTGGAGTAGGCCCATTGAATCAAAGGGCCTTACTGAGGATGTTGACTCATCAGATCAGTAACTACCTTTGAACTGCAGAGCTGGACGGGGCCCTTCAGTCCCTGACAAGGAGACCCAGTGGGGGGATTCGAACTCCAAACCCCACAGCCAGAGACCTCCGCCCCTGTGCTATCCAGACCTCTGCCAGTTCAATGGGCTTACTCTTACTGCTGGGTTTCATCCATTGTGTCTGAACAAGCTGATTTGGGATCCATGACAGCTCAGTGGAAATCCGGTGGCCTTTAAGGCAAAACCAACACACATCCCTTTAGTCTTATCAATGCACATAGCATGGGGGAAAAAGCCATAATCCTGATTCAAGCCGTTGGTGCTAAACTAGAGTTTATGAATGGATCCCTTATTCAGCTCCTGTCTTGCAGAATTTACTTTCCCGGTGCGTCGTTTGGGGGTGGCTTGGTCTGGCCGGTTCTTTTGTTCTTCTTTGGAGTTAAAATATAATGTGCAATTTTTAAAGAAAAATATTATTTTAAAAAAATTCCTGGGAGTATGTGTCAGGATCTCGCTGAAATCATGTCCAGATTGATTTTCATAGGGGATTTTACTTCCTGAGTAATCCTTACTCGGCATCTTGGAGGCAGAATGAGGTGTTCGGCAGGTAACGTCTTGTATGGAAATAGACCCCCCCCAGCCTTGAAAATAATCAGAGAGAGATTTTTTCTGAGCATGATTAGAAGGCATTTTATTTATTTATTTATTTATTTATTTGATTGATTGATTGATTTGATTTGATTTATACCCCGCCTATCTGGACCACCAGACCACTCTCGGCGACTTAATTTTCCCCGAATGCATTCAAGACAGGGATGGGTGACCCCTTTAAAAATTGTGTATCCCATCAGCCCTGCTCAGCCGATGGCGAGGGAGGATGGGAAATGTAGTCCAATGACATCTGGAGGGCTGTGCTTTTCCCCCATCCTTGCCTTGGATCTTGACAACGATCCTTTGAGGTAGGACAGAATGGTTCTCTTGACGTTGCTGAAGGAACCACCAAGGCCTGGTTTATCTCCAGCCAACGCTGTGGGGGGGGTCCCCTGGGCGAGTTAAGGTGCAAATCGGGGGGGGGGCTTTCTTCACTTGGCTGTAAAATCTGACCCCCTTTCCCCCCCCCACATTATGGGATTCTATTCTATCCTATTCTTTATTACATCGCCCGTCTCAGCGTTGAGCGCCCCAGGTGGTTTGCAAGGATGACGAGAAGCTAAGAAATCTCATCAAAAGGCAATTCAATTTGTAAGCTGAATTAAACTAACTCGGCAAAGGTTTCAAAGCCTTCTTTGGCAAGCTGGGAGAAGTGGCTGTTCAAAAGAAGGGGAAAAAGGTTTAACATTCAATTTTTTAAAAAACGAAAATTTTGGGCCTCCCCGGGCAACACCGCCTTGACCAAAATGATGCTTGGGTGTTTTTTTTACAGGCGAGTGGAAGATCCAAAGGAGAAGAAGCAAGAAGAGGCTGATTCTAAGGGGTGGGTGGGTGGGGGGGGGGACGCTCTTCCGAGCCAAGAGAGACAGAGAGAGGGAGGCACGCACGCACGCACGTACCCTGTGACGGCTTGCCAAGGGAGGTGCGATCCAGCGCGGAGGCCCCGTCCCTGCTTGGATGCAGCTCGCTCGCTTGTGGGAGCACCCTTGGCCAGGAAAGGATCCGGCCCCCGTCCGGGCAGCTGGCCAGGCTATTCCACTGCTGTTTCCAGTGCATGATCTTTCCCTTGGAAACGGGCCTTCCAGAATGATCTCATTCAGACGAGGACGCACCACGACATTCCCCCCCCAAATCCCATCCCAGGCAGGAGCTGCGGTGAAAGATTTCACCGCATGGAGGAGGCAGCAGGAGAAGAATCTCCGATGATGGGGGGGGGAATGTGTGGCTGCCCCGATGAAGTGGGTCCATCTCATGTCCGGTCTTCCTCATTTCCTGCTGCTTTCAACTTTTCCCATTCTGCAGTCTCGTCTTCTCTCGATGCGCCCCCCCAAAATACCACCACATCAGCTTCGTCATTTTTGCTTCTAGGCTTCATCTGACCCCCAAGACCCATTCCCTCATCTTTCCAGGGAGTCCGTGGTATGGATGAAGCTTTCCCCAACACCACGCTCCAAATAAATCAATATTTTTTTTCCTGTTGGCTTTCTTCGCTGTCCACTTTTTCCATCTCAAGATACTTGGAAATGCCCTGGTATTTTTGATCTTGACCTTAGCCTATGATGACACATCCTTACACTCGAAGTTTTTTTACAGTTCCTACATAGCTGCCTTCCCGAGTCCCATGTTCCGATTTCTTGGCTGAGTCGGTGGGCCCAAACCGTTTAGGGCTTTATAAATGAGAAACAGTGCTTTGAATGTTACCCGGAAACGGATCAGCAGCCAGTGGAACTGCTGCAACAAGGGGGGGATGATGGGATTCCCTATAACCAGCCCCAATTAGCAATCCGGCTGCTGTTTTTCCATACAGTTTCCAAGGGCAGCCCCACGTAGAGTGCATTACAGTAATCAAGCTGGGATGTAACTCAGGTACGTGTGGCCAGATTTGACTTCTCCAGGAACAGGCGCAACTGGCGCATGAGTGCAACGCCACAATTGGCCACCACTGAAACCTGGACATCCAGGCTCAGAGACGAGGTTAGTTCTTTGATGTCTCTCTTGTCGGGTGGCTATTGATTTTCTTTCCTTTTTTCCCTGTTGTTTCTCTAAAAGTTACAACGTCGTCGTTGTGATTTGACTTTGTAGCGGCTACGGGTTGCTTTTTTGTTTGTTTGCATGATTTAGTCTGTTGGATTTCTTTCTGTCCCTGGAAGTATATTTCAAAAAGATACTGACTAAATAAATAAATAAACAAGGCAAGAAAGACTGTATCAAGTTCAGAATTGTTCTTTCGAAATGTCCCCGGCTTGTCCGTTCCACACAGTGGCTCACTCAGCCTATCTTGTCCGGCTGCTGAGGTTTTGCCGGGCCCTGGATTCGAGCATCAATTCGGAATCATGAGGTCCTGAAACTTGAGAGCCTTTACATTAAGCCTCTTGTCTATGGGAAGACACTTTCAATGCCCAAATTTGTTTTTTGCAGGCCCGCTTTTTTTTGGCTATTCTCTTCCTGCCTCTTAGCTGCCTTTCTGTCCAGAAGCTGAATCATATTTTTTTGAGGGGGGGGGTCAGTTTTGTGAGATTTTAAAAGCCCGAACGTGGCCGGAGACGAAGTCTCTGAAATGGCTTGCCATGGAGAGAAAACTGGGCTTTGTGGGAGAGAGAAAACGACCGTCCTCTTGGTGGAATTCTGACGAAAATGGATATTTCACCTTCTACCCCGACGGAGCCCCTTCCATTAACAGCGTGGCGGAGGAGATGCCGGCGGTCTGACCACAGAAGGGTTGTCGGTTGTGGCTTGTGAGGGAGTGAAAGAAAGGCCCACCTGGACGCAAGGAGGCCCCGTTGTTATGGCGGCGAGGGGGAAAACAAAGCGTAAACACCGTTTGGCCCCGAGACCGAGCCAGACGTGATCTCTGCGGCCAACTTTACGGGGGCGAAAGGCTCCACTGGTCTAATGACCCACAGCTGTATGCACGCCCCGGGGTGTGCGCCTCGCTCTTTGCAAAACAGACACTGCGTTCGAGGCGTCTGATTTGGAGGCCGTAGAGTGTAGCAGTTAGGGAGTGAGACCCCCAAAACTGGGGGATCCAGATTCGAATTCCCCATGCTGCCATGGAATTCCCTGGAGGAGGACGAAGGTCATGGAGGAGGAAGAAGGTCATCATCCTGCTCTTAGAACTGCACAGCTGGAAGGGACCCTGTGGATCATCAAGTCCAGCCCCTGTCCAGTGGGGAGGATTCGAATTCCTGACCTTTGGCTCCGCAGCCAGAGACCATAAACCCTTGAGCTATCCAGCAGTTCTTCAGCTGGTCACCCTTGCGCTCAGCATGACCCACTTCACAGGGCTGTCGTGATGATAAACTGGAGAATATTTGAATTTAGTAATTTGTGAAAAACAGTGTGGGTAGATTGTCTTGAGCACTCCTTTCCAATAGGCATCTGTGAAGCATTTTAAAGCATTTCCAAAATTGCTCTTAAGTTGTACCCCCTTTTTTATCCATGTCGGGCAGAAGGTGGCATTTTCCACTGATTTTTTTTTAAATTGAGGTTTCTGCCTCTTATTTCCATGCAACAATTTTTATTGCAGTTTTGAGCAGATGAACTACAGGGCATGAATCAAACTTGGACCGGAAGAAGCAAAAAAAAAATCAATCAAGAATGCTTAGTTGTGGGAACTTTAAGTGGAACCTCCCTATCCAGGAGCAGTCTACCACCAAATGGCAACGGCTGGAGAGACAACCACGCAGGAGAGGGGCTGCCTTTGTGATTTAATCAACACAATCATCATCATAATAGAACTGCAGAGCTGGAAGAGACCCTATGGATAAATCAGCCCCTGTCAAGAAGGCACTGCGGAATTCGAACTCCCAACTTCAGACCTAAATCACTGAACTAGTGAGCATCTAGTCCTCACTGGCATGCACACATCGGTTTCTAAGGAGTAAAATTTAGTAACTTCTGGAGTCAGCCTTGAGTCCAGCAAGCCGAGAAATTGGCAGAATCTTAGGCCGGTTTTGAGTGACGCTGGTGAAAAAAACGGCTCTTCGTAATGCCATTTAAGCCGGAAGAGGGAAATTTTCCTTGGTTTCCAGCCCGGGATGCCAGCCTCGGAAGAGTTTTTGCCCCGAGGAAACGGATCTGTCTGTTCCCGTTGGGCTCTCGTGAGGCCAGATCAAGCATGTGCCCCATGTGCTGGGGGGCGGGTGGGTTAGCGCATGGCCACGGAAAGCCACGGAGGGTGGCAAGAGAGAACTGTCCGTTTTCTGCACTCCCCAACCCAGCACGGATCCTTTTTTTCTTTCTGGCTACAGCTCTCTTCTGCGGAGTCGGGAGACTACAGTTTGTCAAGATGACCGAGATGAGGCAGGCAGCTGGGAAAGGCGCTCTGTGCATGCTTTGGACAGCTACGGCACCATTTTTTTGCATTGACCCGATTACTAAAGAATCATCGTATTTCTGGACTCTACATTCTGGGGAAGAGCATTGGAAATCTGCCCGGTTTTGTGGCTTGTCAGCAGAGGTGATCACAGGCTCATGAACAGCCCTGCCCAGCTCTTAGAAAATCAAGCCTCTGGCTTCCTTGAGGGAGTCGGTCCATCTCACATCTGGACTTCCTCTTTTCCTGCCGCCTGCGACTTTTCCTAGCGTGATTGTCTTTTCCACCCTGTCTTTGCTCCCAGAGACCAGGATTTTCCGCTTTCAGGGTTCAAAGGGTGCAGGTCGGTTTGGCCGTGTGGGGCCCTCACATGGATAAGTGGGGAGAGGCCAGCAGGGGCCCCCAATTCCTGCTTCCCATGGATCGGGAATAACAACAAAAAGAGAGGTTTCTGGCCAGCGCTTGGCTTAGGCTGGCCTACCTCGCCGGATGAGGGTTGCGTGGATCATACAGAAAAGAGGAGAGCCCTTATCTCCGTTCCTTGGGAGATGAGTGAAAGAAACACCCTGACAAAGCCCCCCCTCTTGCCTCGGGCAGCGAAATCTCTTGGGAGGCCGCCAACTTCAACACTCCGCCTCCCCAGAAGGGCATCTCAGCAGGTTTAACCCCAGCCGGCTGCGCGCCTTTTAGATACTACATCCACACAGTATCTCACCCCTCTCTCCTCTCTCTCTCTCTCTCTCTGGCTGTCTGATCAGGGAGGGTGGAAAAATGTGGGAAAGGAAGGAAGGAAAGAGGGAGGAAGGGAGGGAGGGAAAGAAAGAAGGAGGGGAGGAGGAGGGCGGGCGCGCCGGCCGGCCTCGACCGTGGCCAGGGAGGGCCCTCTCCAAGCGCGCCGGGCGCCTCCGCAGCCGCCACCCTTTGTCCCAGCAGCGCCGCCCCTTCCCCGGCCGCCCGGCCCTCCCTTCCCGGTCTCGGAAGCCGCGATGGACCGGCGGAGTTATCCCCGTGCACTCGGTACATGTTCTCAGTACGCCTGGACATATTAGGAGGATCAGCAGGATGTTCCCAATATTCCTTGAGAAGGTCCATAAGCTCAGGCACATAGGAGAGACTGACGGGGCGAGACCTGGCTAAATGGATGTCTCCAAAAATCAGGTCGTCCGCACGTGAGGGAGATTTCTCTACCTCCAACTTAAGTGCTGCAGCCATCCTTGAAACCATCTGAGGGTAAGAGGAGAAGTCCTCAGACGGGGAGGAGGGATGGATATCCGCTGCGTCTGAACCCAGGGGTTCTTCTGGCAGCGCCTTTTGGGGAGAACAGGCGCCTCTGGTTTCTGTGCCAGGAGGAGGCGGTGGGTTCGAGTCCCGCCCTGCCCCTCCAGGTCCAGGCGGCGTAAAACTTCAGCCACGCTCTGCCCCATGTGGGGGAACAAAGCTGACTCCGGGGAACCCGGAATGTTTCCAACTGGGACAGGATCGCGGGCAGCGGGACCTCGGCGCCTGGCGCGGGAGGCGCTCCGCCGCGCCACGGATCTGGCGGGGGGATATTCAGGCTGTCCGGGGCTGAGTGACCCAGCCGGGCTCGGGGTGGACCAGGCGGTCTGGCGAGGAGGGAGCGGAAAGTGGCACAGAGGCGCGTTAAGCAGCATCCTTTCCAGCCATGGCGCAGGGCGCATGCGGCTGGAGCGCGCAGGATCTCTCGGTCTCTGCGCCTCCCCAGCGTACAAACGCCCAGGAAGGGCTTAGAGAGGAGGTGGTTGAGCAGATGGTCCGTGGGGGATTTTTCTGGGGAGGAAGGGAGAGGCGGTAAGGGGTCAGGTCGAAGGCATATTTGAGAGAGGGGGGAAAAAAAGACTTTCCAAGTCAGCGAAAAACTCATGGTCCACAGCTGGTTCCATCAGAACCTCCAGGGCCAGGAGCAGTCTATCTCTGCATACCGCTTCCTTGTGTTCTACGCGGGCGGTGTGTTAGTAAATAGGTTTGCCGGCAGGGGAATGATGATGCCAAACCGGACCGTAGCGTAGGATGCTTTCGTTCTTCTGAAAGGCAGCTCTGCGAACGGCCGTTTGTGGTGGTGGAGCCTCCCTGTCAAGGGGCAGTATATACTTCTGGAAGCTGCAGGAGGCCAAGGGAAAGGGAGAGCCGACCCCATTAAGAAGGCTTCCCTGAAATATAGGATCAGTTCTTGGGAGTAAATGGAAAGGGGCTTCCCCCTTCCTGGTATAACTGGACTAGAACGAGCTGGAATTTTCAGCATGCATACATTACTGAAACAGCGCCGTCTACGTTGGCTGGGGCACGTCGTGAGAATGGCTGATGGTTGGATTCCGAAAGATCTCCTCTATGGAGACTTAGTGCAGGGAAATCGCCCCAGAGGGAGACCACAGCTGCGTTACAAGGACATCTGCAAGCGGGATCTGAAGGCCTTAGGAATGGATCTCAACAGATGGGAAACCTTGATATCTGAGAATTCAGCGTGGAGGCAGGCGTTGCATCACAGCCTCTCCCAATTTGAAGAGACCCTTGTCCAGCAGGCCGAGGCAAAGAGGCCGTCCCCAAAGCAGCGAAATCAGGGAGCTGGACGGGGGACAGATTGGATTTGTCTTCAGTGTGGAAGGGACGGTCACTCTCGAATTGGCCTCCTCAGCCACACTAGACGCTGTTCCGAGTCCTCCATACAGAGCACGTTCCCATAGTCTTTCGAGACGGAAGGATGTCTACCTAGCTTCTGCAATTTCTCTCAAATGTCCATGAGGTGGTGTGAGGCCAAGGCCTCAGGCACCAGAGAACTAAGGGGTGGCAAGCAGAGTTCGTCCCCTCCCATCCTCCCCTGCACTTTTTTACTCTCTCTTTCCTGGTGCCATACCCTCTGTAAAAACCGTGGGCCTTGGATGCAGGATATGTCCCTTTGCAGTAAGGTTTGGCTGCCACTCTGCCTGGCTTTTCTATGTGGAAACTATATATATTTAATTTTTTAAGCACTACAATGCCCAGAATCCTCAAGCTAGCAAGGGCAGGACGGCTGGCTTGGGCATTTGGGGGTGGTGGTGGTTCGTGATTTTTGTGGGAGTCAGTTTCCCAGACTCTAGCATTTTTGCCTCCCACTTCCCTTTGCTCCTCCATCATCTTTCTTGACATTTAGGTACACGGATGTGGGTCAGGCCGTAGCCGACATCTTGCTTTAGGACCCGGGATGAACCCGAAGGAAAAGCAGAAGGGAACATAATTCACCAAATAATAGATGTGCAAACTATGCGATGACGAATAGATGGCTGAGGTTCCTCGCCAAAATTAAAATGAGCGAGCCCCAATTTTTTTGCTCCGTTACAGAGTTCCAGGAATGGAATATTTGACATTTCAGAAATCTGATGCAGCCTCTGCTGGCCGAGAGAACATGATTCGGCCTGTTTGCGGATTCTGGTTTGGCTTCCGTTTCTCCCTGGGCTGAAAAGCCGTCCTCTGTTTTTATTGTCGTTTGCAGTTGAAACTTAGAAACTGGTATTTGATCAATATTTAGAGAAATCAAAACACACATTGTGCGTCTCGCCGCTTTATAGAAAGCCAGGTATTTATCTCCTACTCTCCCCGTATGAATCTTGTGAAACATAATCATTGCTTTCAGGCCGAGAAGGATCTTTTCCCCGTTTCTGTGAGGAGAATCCGGGCTGGCATTTTAACGCATGGAAAAATTTGTGCTTTACCGCTGGCGCGTGGTTCGTCCCCTGAAAATAAAGCTATAATTAAAGTAAGATGCCGGTCCTCATGAACTAACGGTTGATTTACTGAGATGCCTCAGAAGTTATGGTTACCTCACAATTTCTAGTTTATCATTTCTCTCAAAAGCCTGTTCATTTTAGGGTGTAAGATGTCACGGCTGGCCTGCGTGGCGTTCATGACCTTTAAATGTATTTTATTAATTGATTTTTTGCCCTACTTCCTTATGCAAGCGTCTCACACTCGGTTTGCGGCTCGGCTCGGCTCTCTTACCGTCACAATGGTCCTGCGAGGTAGGTTGGGCTTATAGATGGGTTGCAACCTCTCTTCCTGTGGGGCTAGATTTCTACTTGCAGAGTTTAGCATGATTGCCTTTAAAAACAAAATGGAGAAAAGCACACACAGGAGTTGTATCTCCTTCTCAAATTGTTTCTTTTATTCCGGCTCTTTTAGAAAAAAAATGTACAGTAAAGGTAGGAAAATATAATCTGATTTTAGTCTTGCAGAACAGGAAGGGACCCCATTAGACCCTGTGGGGGAGGCCCGGTGGGGAATTGAACCCCCAAAATCTGATCTAAGGTAATAGAATATACCAGCGTAAAAGACCCTGTGGGCCCGGTGGGGAATTGAACCCCCAAAATCTGATCTAAGGTAATAGAATATACCAGCGTAAATGGCAAGTAGGGGGTACCAAGTTTAGAAACTCTTCTATGTGACAGAAAAGAACGGACTCCCCGCAGGTAGAGAGCTAGCACCTCAGGGAGAAAAAGTTGGAAGGTGTTTAAGATCAAGGAGCACAGACAGCGAAGGAGGACCCCACAACCCCCCCCTTTCTGCAGCTTCAAATCTATTTTTTTCCGCCTCATTCTGACATGAATGCTTGAGACAAAGCCTCACACGCAGACACCCCCCGTGCCGTCCCATAAACGCCGCTCTGTGTCTTGGCCGTTTGGACCGACCACGCCGGGCGAGGCCGCTTCCCCGGCCGAGTGGCAGCCGCCGTCCTCGACCGAAGGCTCTATAAATCTGTTTTCCGTGCAGGTTTTTTTTTTCCTTTCCAAAATATGTGGCCTGAACCCAGCTTCTGGTTAATCTTTTGCAAAGCGTTCCGAAAAGCCTGGCCAAGGAGACTTGATCGGAAGCCCCACGCCCGTGGGAGGTCCGGGCTGGGCGTTTGTGTGTGTGAGAAAAGGGGGCACTCCCTCCTTCCCCACGTTGACCCCAAAGACAGCCACAGGCGTCTTCGGCACTTCCAAGGGCCCCTGTGTGCTCCGAGGTTGGCGCACGCTTTCAGTCCCTTCTTGCAAACAAATATTGATCTGGGGAGGACTCCCTGTTTTTCCAGGACTGGCCTTTTGGCAGGCGTCCCGCATTGAAGGGCCGTCTTGTCAGGTCAGGCCGAACCTCCCTCGAGACCTCCTGTTCCCCCCCCACAAAATGGATAAACCAAATGCCTTGGAGAGAGAGAGAGCGGGACCTCGCCCTCGTGGTTTGGCCTCCCGTCACCCCTGGCAGGAGCATCTCCTCGGAGTTGTCTGGATGACTTTTCCACGTGCTCTTTTCGGAGCTCTCAACGACGGAGCCAGGGGGTGGCCCGATTAAAACAACAGGGTTTCTTTCTTTTTAAAAATGTTTAAGAAAGATGATTCCACGCTCCGGCATCTTCCCTCTGAGCTGAGGGGGGATTCCTCACAGTGGTTTGTGGACTGGAAAAGCCTTTGTGTGTGCGCTTTCGTTTCAAGAGCAGGCAATGAAGAGTTGTTAACTTTACCAAAACCCGCTCCTGGCGGGGAAGGGAATTTTATTTATTTATTTATTTATTGGATTTCTACCCCCACCCCTCTAGACAATGACCAGGGCTGGTTTGTTGGTCTCCGTTGTGGTGTCTGCCTGCACTTCTGGTTGTTGTTAAGAAGAAGAACTGCAGAGCTAAAAGGGACCCTCAAGATCATCCAGTCCAACCCTTGTCACAGAGGCACAGGCGGATTCAAACTCCCAACCTCTGGCTTCACAGTCAAAGATCTAAACCATGGGGCCCTATGGTCGCGTTAGCCCTCTTCAGTTTTGCTTTCCTGCCTTTCTCGGGGGGGGGGAAGCAAAGGCTTGATCCTGGTCTTTTCCTCCGCTAGTCATTGACCTCCTGACCGTGACGGAGGCCCGGCACATGGCGAGCGTCACCAACAAGATTCGGACGGAGCTGCTGTCGGTCAACGACCTCTACCTGCTCTCCAGCTTCCGCCTGCCCCCTAAGCAAGGAGGGGTGTTGTTCGGGCTCTACTACAAAAAGGACAACAGCCGCTGGCTGGAGGTCTCGGTCGTCGGCAAGACCACCAAAGGTGAGGTGAGGGGGCGGGCTGCGGCCGAGGCCGGCTGGCTCTGACCACGGGGTGTGTGTGTGTGTGTGTGGGCGGGGGAGGGCTGCGGCCAAGGTCGGCTGGCTCTGACCACGGTGTGTGTGTGTGTGTTAGTGTGGCCAGGGCTGGTGGCGTAGCTGGTTTGGGTCCGAACTTTAGAGAGGGAAGGCAAAAGCACTGAGGGTGCTTTGGGCACAGAGTTCGGTTCGGTTAAAGTTTGGACGAAAATCCGGTGCGGATCCGTGGCTCCCCCCCTTCCCCCAACGAAGCCATCCTCTTCAGGAATTTGAGCCAATCCAAACTGGAGGACTTTCGGCCCTCCAAATAAACGGGACTCCGACTCCCATCATCTCTGACTCTTAGCCAGACCCACAACAACTCATGGAGGACTGCAGCTTCTCTCCCCACCCCCACCCCCATGTCCTCATCCTCAGATTGGCTCTCCAGGGTTTTAAACAGAGAAGGATGTTTCTCCTTATGATCAGCCTGAACCTTTTTTAAAGATACTGGAATTCCCAGAGCAGAAAAGCTTCAAATTTCTCAGAATAGGTCACTCCCTTTTCTCATTAACTGGCACTTATAGTCTCAGGAACTCAGTCTAAGTAGGAGAAAGAATAAAAGGCTTCGTTTATCGCTCAACAGGTTAAACAGCAAACTAGCGAAATGTAGCTGCTTTGGGCAAACAGACCCAGACAGACTCCTGCTTTCAACAGACGGAAGGGAGGGAGAAAGCTCAGAAGGAGAGAGGCGGGGCTTTCTTTGAATTCAGAGGCAGGGAAGGAACGATTGGTTGATACCGGGTAGATTGACAGTTCGGAGAGGTCCCTCCCAGCCTAACCTGCTAAAGGCTGCCTGCGAGGTTGCAAAAACTCCACCCGAAAGGGGTGCATGTGTTCCTTTGGAGAATTCAAGAGGGCCAAGAGTAGAAGAGGGTGGAAAAAGCAGAGAGTTTAGCACAAAACCAACCCTCCCGTTCTGTGTCTTCCTGTGCCTCCCCTCCCCCGCCAGTCCTGCTCCGCTACCTCCGAACCGACGGGAAGGTCCAGTCCGTCAACCTGCAGAACGCCAATCTGGCCGACGGCCGCAGCCACACCGTTCTCCTGCGGGTCAGCGGCCTGCAAGGGCGCAGCCTCTCCGTGGACCTCTATGTGGACTGCAAGCAAGTGGACTCGAACTCAGGGCTCCCCGAGATGCTGCCTGTCCAGAGGGACCAGGCCGAGGCAGTGGAAGTCCGGACGGGACAGAAGTCTTACCTGCGTATGCAGGTGAGCCAGGCGGGCATCACTGGGAGCTTTCGTTTGTGGGTGTGGTCAATGCAAATAGAAAGAGGTGGGTTTGTGCAGAAAGGGGGCCAGCTCGCTATCTAGGGGTGGGGCCATGCAAACGAAAGGGGTGTGGCTACGAATTAAGCCCTTTCTTCATCTCAGTGCAGAGTTGTCCAGGAAAAGACCTCTTCCTGAATCAGCCCGAAGGTGCATCTTCTTTGTTTGGCGGCCTTGGAAATTAAATTCTAACTTGGCTCGTTGACGTTGAACGACGAAAAGCAAGGGATGGGTTGTTTGAGTCCTTTCAAATGACTGCTCTACTGGATTGGGCAAAAAAAAGAGCTTCTTGTCTCACTCTCACGCTGGAGACCATGAATCTCGGGGCTCTGAAGCTTCCTGTGAAAGTATATCGAGAGAAACGAAACTGGGGATAAGAAGGAACTTAAAGTGCTTATTTCATATGCCTCAGAGGCAGATAAATTTCCACGTTCTTCCCCTCACCTTGTCTTGCCAGAAGAACAACTTTTTATCGTGCGGATTGCTACTCTTAGCTTCACTTCCTTCCCGCTCCTTCCCAAATTTAGTGCTTTCGCTGTGTTCCTAGTTTCTAAAACAGGGGGTTCTGTGTAGTTGTCACAAGCTGAGACTAGGCAGCTGCACTTTTGCCAGGATAGGTACCCTAACAGTGCTACTGCCTTGATTTGACTCCAGTCCCTTCTTTGCACATTAGGGCTTTGTTGAGTCGCTGAAGCTGATCCTCGGAGGCTCAATGAGTCGTGTGGGGGCCTTGAGCGAATGTCCTTTCCAGGGGGACGAATCCATGCAAAACACAGGTGAGAGTAACCAACCTTCCTTCCTTCCTTCCTTCCTTCCTTCCTTCCTTCCTTCCTTGAGTACGTGCATGGTACATACAATGGTAAATGCAAAACACAGGTGAGAGTAACCAACCTTCCTTCCTTCCTTCCTTCCTTCCTTCCTTCCTTAATAATATGAGAGAGAGAGAGCATGGTAAAAGGAAAAAATAAACAGGAAAAAAATATTTTTTCACATGTATTACCAGAACTGGCCACTATTCACGGTGCTATGTATTTTTCAAGAAAAAGTATTCACAACACGGTCTCAGGCTCCCTCTTGTGGCCAGTTCTGGCAATACATGTGAAAATAATTTCTGATTTTTTTTCCCTTTTAATATTTTAAATATTTTCAGACCATGGCTAAGTGAAACCGTAGATATTGATACGGGAGTCCCACTATATTTCCCTTCCTGTTTCTGAAACTGTACATATGTAGGAGTGTATGGGCTGTTCTAAATGCATGCATTTTTAAAAGCGATCCCTGCCTTCCATATCATACACATTTATGAGTATTTTCCCCCCATCTTGTGCATGGTTTGTAGACATTTTTAGAGTCTGAGGGGCGTAAATAAATGCTAACTCTTTCCTCCCTCCTTTTTTCCCACCCAGTATCCAACGTAATCAATTCCCTCTTTGGTGAGTCCGATGGTGGCTCGGCCACGTTTCCTTATTGCATGTCCTGTTATTTACGATGCTACCGATCTTGCATGCTCTCGGGGTCCTTTAAAATCCATCAATAAATGCACACACAGAGGCACCGTCCTATCCATCCAATCGAATGTCTTCTGGAGGTGCTGGATCACAATGCCCATCATGCCCAGCTCAAAAAGCTGTGAGGAGATGGGAGTTGTAGTCAAACACCCCTGGAGGTCAGGGAAGACTGGACTACATTTTATGCAGACTGAATGGTTAGCTACCATGGAAAGCTACCCTGTAATCCATATCTTCTATCCCAGGGTAGATTATCCCAACAGACCGAATATCTCCTGATGGGAGCAGCAGTAAAAGGGGCTAATTTGTATATTTTAAGAAAGCAGTCTACAACTACAGTGGATTTTTTTTTTCAAATTGAGAAATGGACCATTAAAAATTGTATTTTTAAGTGAAAGGAGCATCTTGCGCCCTCTAGTGCCCCAAAATATATATTTTTAATGGGGGGCTTAATGTGGAAAGCCTTGATATAGGTGAGGGGGATGTGAAACTCTGTCATCGTCAAGGACAGGACTGCTCACTCTCCTGTTGCGTGACAGGGGAGCAAACGAAGGCCCTGGTGAAACAACTCACGCTCTTCAACCAGCTCTTGATGGAACTCCAGGAAGACATGAGAGATCAGGTGAGTCCTGATGAAAATCCAGGTGAGGATTTTGGAGCATTGGGATGCATACAAAACAGCCTATGGGCCATTTATGTCGATTCTTCATGTTATCCGGCCATAATTCCATTCAGTTTTAGTCATCGGTCTGCGATTCCTAAAATGCACCACAATTGTCCTTTCCTTTTTGTATGCGATGGTCCAGATCCTACTGCAGAGAAAAGTGACTTTAATGGTGGGGGGTAGATAGCTGATGATTAAAGACTTCCTGCTTGATTCCTGTGGCTCTCAGGACTCACGCACAAGGAGACTAGTTGCATGCAACCCTGTGAGCCTCAGGATCGAAAGAGGAAGTCTTTAATCCCTGCTTTTTTCCACAGTGGGGAGTCAGTCTTTCAATCTCTGGCCAGGTAGCCAAACCACTGAGGTCTCCAACCAGATTAAGGATGTGACAAATTTGCCCCTTTCCTCCTCAGTGATGAAAAACGCCATCTTAAAACTCCAAGACACTCCGTGGAACAAATGCAAAACTTCTACAAGATTTTCCCTCCTCACAAGAGCCTAAAATTTAACTTTTCTTTTCTTGTCGTTGGCCACCCCCCATAAAAAAAGGGGGGGAAGGGGAAAAAAAACTTGTTTTAATAATTGGAAGGCATCATCCCATAGCCTCGTCCTACGGAGGTTTTACTGAGGGCAAGCGGGAGATGGGGAGATTTATTTAATGAATTAATTTAAAGAATATTTGCCTCGCCTTTCTCCTAAACAATAACAATAACAAACAATAACAATAACAATAACAAACGACGACGACGACGACGACGACGACGACGACGACGACAACAACAACAATAACAATAACAATAACAATAACAAT